CTCCTGTACTGCCTCCCTATCCATCACGGAAGTGCAGTGCATGACTTGCTCCCAGGACAGCAGAGCAGAAATGGAGTCACCATTCATTCTTAGTCACGGATTGTTTGGAACAAATGAGACTGTTCCTGCTGCTCTCTAATCAGCAAACACTGTAAGCCCCACTTGGGTGCCACATCCAAATGTTTCTGTCCCCTGTTATACTCCAAACAGCCTGGCAAAACACATTGGTTTGGTTTTTTTTAGTAATCCTAAAAGCAATGCCTCTTTTACTGAATACCACTACTTCTGTTTCAGTGCCACCAGACTATCAACTGTCTGTTTTTTGGGAGGTTTTTTGTCTTGAGTGCCACTGCAGCAAAAATAGTTGATTTTTATATTTTATAATCATACATAACAAAAGTTCACAATGTTAGTGGCCTCTAATGGCAGCAAGAGTTGCCCAGTACAGTTCACAAAAAAGATGTTCGGTGACGTTAAAAAATAACGCCCTTCTCAGTCCGCTGCAGTTGTATAATTTGATGGGTTAATAAAAATTTAGTATTTTTACATAAAAGAATATCCTGATGTTAAGGGTGGCCATTAATAATGCTAGCCAAATCTGTAGCTATACTTTCCTGTAAACAAAAACGCTCTTCTATTATAATAATGAAAGCTGAAGTCTTTTTTTTCAGCGTGAGGCTTTGAAAGAGAAGAAGCTGTTTTAACCTTAGACTGTGACTGTCAGTCACCCAGGTCGCTCCAGTATGCAGCCCTGCTGTAGCCGCTTTGGTTGAATAACCCCCTGCTAGGGTCATCTTAAGCTAGAATTTTATTAGCATTCATTTGAGTAGCGCACAGTGCATCTTTACTGACAATGTTCAGTTTACCTTATAGGTCAGCTGTGGCTATGAATGTGTTCTGGGAACCTAGAGGAAGAGAAAGTTTAAGGCATTATTAGATCACATGCAGGACTCTTGGTCTTCTTTGAAAACACAACAACAATCTGCACATCCGTTGCAGCGTTGTGCACGTGTGCATTCAAATACGCGCGCACACACACACACGCGCACAGACTCACAGTTGGAGAAGGGGCTTCATTGTGCAGCCCTGCTGTTTTGAGTGACTGTAGCGTGTGCTGGGCAACAGCTGCTGTGATCCCCCACTACCCTCCCACACCACATTCCCCTCACCTACACTCTGTGCTACTGGCCCATGCTGGTCTAAAACATCAATACCCTCGCAGCGACATAGACGCGCAATATTTATTTACAACACACATTTACAGTGCACATGAGTAGTCTCTTATTTTGTGTGCGTTTTTTTTTTTTGTTTTGTTTTTTCACTTCTCATCTTTTTGTTTTCTCTTTACCTCCCTCCCCTTCCTTTCTTATTATTCTCTGGCCTTTTTGTTCTTCAGTCTGTACTGTATCAGCTGACAGCCTTCTGTGTCTGTCAGTCTTTAAACACTGCTCCATAAGGGACACCCTAAGCTCCCCTCACTATTCTCTGACTTTCCCCCACTGACAGCTGTCTCTACAGTGTAACCCTTTCATGGGTCTGGGCCTCTGTGAAAGTAATAGTATAAAGTTTCAGCAGCCTCATGCATGTTTTGAGAAGGATCTGACGACTTTCTTTGGTTAAGAGAGATTCAGAGGCTTTGTGATATATACACACACAGACTGAGTTGCTGCTTCCTCAGCCAAGTCTAGTTCCTGGTGGGCTTGTTTGTCATCGGTTGCAGCTTCTGCTGCTGATGTGACCTCGTCTGCAGCTCATTACAGCATGCCACCTGTTTGTCCCGAAGCTAAGAAAGACACACACACAGACACACACAATAATAGAGTTTGTTGAATTGACAGGGGGTTAATCTAACTGGAGTGTCCATGGTGGAACTGCCACACAAACTGTCAACTTCCCACCGTGTCAGTGGCTTTCTTTGTCCTCTGGGCTTGTCTTTCTGTAGGACCAGGCAGACACTATGATGAGCTTCCGAGTAGCAAGCACTAAACAAAGAAAGAAAAATACACACTGGAACAGGTGTAGCTCACAGGTTTTACAGCATCTGACAGGTTTGCTGACTATAACTTTTCAGAATCCATGCAATAACAGATGCATGTTTCAAATTTTACTGTCAGCTCTTTGTAAATTTTCAACACTGTGTACCATAAAAGACAGGATTTTGATGAACACCCAGCTGTTATTTCTAACTGACGGTTAATTCCAGTCCATGGTTGCTAACAGCAATTATTATCACCCAGTTGTGAGTGATATGCACAGGGTCAAAAAACACTTAAAAGGTGCTATTTGCACCCTTAATTCGATCCATCACATTTTACAGAGGAGTCACTTATTAGGCATTGGTGTGATCCTGAGGTTTGCATCTGAACAGGGCAAACACTGTCAGAGCTAGCACTTATCATCCAACATGCCACTTGCCAAGAAATTGAAAGACATACAAAACTGGAAATGAATCTGTGTCAGACTCTAAAATTCACTGATTCAGCCCCCGCTTTTCTTATGCCATTTTCATCTGCTGAGCAGTATTGAGGTTTTCTGGCTTCATGTTACAGTAGATGTACATTTACAGGCGGACACCCACACACACACACACACAAGCGCACAGAAACCTTTGACTCTGAAGCCCTCCAAGCTAGACAGAAAGAAGGAAGGTCGTTCGAGACGGCAGCACCACATCAGACAGACAACTAGATTCAGATGCATAAACACTCATGCTCTTGTGTATATAAAACCTACCTGGAGATAAGTGTGTGTTACGTAGGCCCAGATTGTGGTGCACACTTTGGCAAAAACAAGCTGTGAAGTTTGTTCTTCTCCAGTGTGTTGTGTTTACATAGGTTATGGAACATCTCAACCCTGAATAAAACAATATCAGTCAAATCAAGTTCGTACAGTGAGCACTAGGATATTTTTTTTATTTATTTTTTTATGCGACTCTACTCAAATAGCACTGTGTGGGTTAGTGTGGTATGGGGGTGTGTTTGGTTTCCACTGGAAGCGCTTAATCATATCTATTGTTGCTGACACTTTCAACATGTAATACTGAAATACCAATTTTATTCCCTTGTCATATTTTTAAAAAAAACATTTACAGTACAGCTTTAATTGTTACTTTCCAGTTTTAACAGTCATGCCGCAGGCCTCTACTTTTTTTTAAATAACATTGATAATTTCAAAAAGTTTATCTTTTCTTTGTTTATTTTAGATATAGTTATAGTTATACTCTTCAATACACTTGACTCTAACTCTCTTCCTAACACATTTTACACTTGTGTCATCAAGTTGTACTTTGAACGCTCTCTTGAGAAAAACGTCTGTCACTCCTCCATGTGTTGGTGTGTTTGCACAGGCCATACCTAGGTGGACAGATGCCCCGGTGCAGACAAAAACCCATTGATGGCAGAAAAACAGATTTGTCTTGCCAACTGATCCCAGCTGTTCAGTAGTTTTTATGGCTTTAAGATAAAGGCAACAGTTGCTTGGGCAGTTGGCATCTCACACATCAGTATACAGAGGCGTAGTGTAGCCAAACATTTTGAGGCACATCATTCTCTGCAACAGGTCCACAACAAACAATAGCACTGTTTAATAGGGATGGAGGGGTAATGGTGCGTGTCACATTATTACATTTCATAACATAGATTAACTGTGTCAAAACATTGCACATTAATTAATAGTTTCACTGGCGTCTGTCTGTGTGGGACTGAGCATGCTCACACACAAACACATGCATACTCAGAGATCTTTGTTGTACATTTTGTAACGCTTTTCTGGCTGCACTGAGACAATGACGTTTTAATGTGTTTGCAGGTTACCCAAGTTCCCATCGAGTCATGTGAGCAATACGGGACATGTGGAGAGTGCCTGAGCTCTGGGGATCCACACTGTGGTTGGTGTGTTCTTCACAATATGTGAGTATCCCTGAGTAGCTGTCATGTCTATTTGCATCCATATGCCCATTTTCTACCAGTTATATGTATCCAGAACATGAGGGCAGTTGTCTGCTGTTTACCATGCACCGCTTCATATTTAGAGTGGTTTGTTGTGTTTGTTCATTTTTTTTCAGTTCAGACAGATTTTGTTAGATGTCTCTCAAAATGGCCCTCACTTTGCCCACGCAAAGGCAGACAGGTTATTTTCCTAATGTTTGTCTCTGATGAGATACAGTTTAAGGAAAGGAGACAGCATCTGACTGAAAATGGATAATTGTGCCTCAGAGATGGTTCAGAGCTTCTTGTTGCTGCCATTGTCATTGCAGCTTTATTCTGACATGACTTGATATTTACAGGAAATGATGCCATTCATGTTATATATGTTTGAATGGAATTTAAAAAGACAGGCAACAACAGACCAAAGAGATCAATCAGAAAGTTTAAAGATCATAGTATAAAGCGCTGAGAATACGCATAGAAAGCATGAGTGACACCTGCTGGAGCTCAATAATTACTGCAACAAAATTAACCTTCAAAATGACAGGAAGAAGGGAGAAACGGATGCGGGAAAAATATGCGTGTGCATGTATTCATCTGAAAAAGCAACTGATATGTGAATATTTAGATGAAACAATGTAAAAGAGTGGAATACAGACAATACTGAACAGTAAAAAAAAAAAAAAAGCTGAAAGATGTTCAGCTCTGACTCCCTCTCCTGCTTTGTTTCTTAAGTACACAGATTTTATTGGAGTTTTTTCTTAGTTACTGTGTCCCCATTTGAAGCCCCCCTAAATACAGACCCACTCTGTAAAGGTATAGCTGAATATTTGTGTGTGTGTCAAAGCACTGCTGCAATCATCATTATCATGATGGCAGCCCCTGCAAAGTGCACTTAAAGTAATTTACATCACTCCAAAGCTGGGACAGGACAAATAATTGCCTAGCGACAAGGTAATTCAGCATGTGCTTGCAAAGAGCAGGAGGGGCTGACGAAAGCTCTGTATTCTGTGCAGTCTGCGTGCCTTCACACAGGGATCATTTAACACAACATAAGCCTCCATGCTAGACTGCTAATCATATGCTTTTGTGTAGGTATGGTAGGGGATAGAATAATTCACGTTGATAGGAATCTGAGTCCACTGCATGTAAAAGGTGTTGGTCCTTAAAGGTGAATGGCTTTTGGAAGCCAGCTGTGATGAGGGAACAGCTGTTTGGTGTTTAAATTGCTTCTCGAGAAAATATGTGAGGGCTTACGTTTGAGTGGGTTCATGCATGTGTCAGTGCACATGGGGTCGATTTTTATGTACATGCACAAACACTCATGTGGATCACTGTACTGTACTGTTGGGAGAAAAGGTCAGCACCCTGATTTGCGTAAGATCAGCCATCTGTCCTCTCAATACAGCGAACGGTTTTGCCACCTGTCTCTGATCCTAATCCCCCTTTCTCTAGCCTGACCCTGCAAAGAGTATCGCAGGACCCCTGTCAGCTTTAGCTATGCTGCCGCAGAGAGGAAAAAAAGTTACTTGGAGAATGGTTAGCTTTTCTCTCTGTTGCATTTTCAGGCCTCCATATGGTTCCGCCCACAAATGTATTGAAAGAGCTACGATTTCTGCAACAGTTCTAACGTGAAATATCGGTTTTGGTGCTTATATCCAGCTTCTGCATGATAAACACAGCATAAATACCTGGTGAAAAAAAAGACAGATGGTTACAAAAAAGATTCTACAAAGTTTACAATTTGTCCACCTTTTGGCAAAGGTGGCACAAAAAGAAGATGCAACAAACACTGAAGCAAGTATTTTTTGAATATGTCTTGACATAGCATTGCCTTATTCAGCCTGTTCTTTCATGCACAAAGCCGACGTGCCACCACTCACAATTACACGCCTCTGTCAACACAGCAGCTCATATATATACGTCATCAGACAGGGAAACCTCAGAAAAAGCAGAAAAATGTCATCTCGTGTTGTTAGCTGCAATGAATTATGAGTGTTGCTTGAGTGCTTAGGAGATGATGTAATCTTGTCCACTTCGACTACTTCATCAAAACACCCACTTATTAACTGAAAGCCAAGAAATTTGTACAGGATTTTAAATGAAACATACATAATTGCACAGCATAAAAAGGATAACAATTATCTATAAACCAGTTTGTGGCTTTAGTGTAGTTAGCGTGGTGACATGAATGCACAATATAACTGACAATTAAAGAAGATATTTGTCAAATACCACTAAGGAAAAGCAGCTGCACCCTTCTGGTGAAGCACCCCCCTCATCCCAGACACCCAGAAATTAAATTTCTTGCCAGCCTTCTTTCTTTCCTCAGCTGTGATTCCTCTTCCATCATCCCCCCGTTTCCCTCAATTTTTCCAATTCTCTGTCATCCATGTCTAAGCCATTGTTGATTTTGTGAAATTATCTTTCCCTCTTTCCATGTTTGCATCTTCCCCACTACCCAAATAGCAAAGCTAGTCTCTAAACTATTCAACTCTACTGATCTCCTCAGCCCAGTGTGGCTCACTGCTGTCTCCTATTTAGACACTCTCCCCTCTGGAATCAGCCCTTCCACACTCCAGAGATGGTTGGCTTGCCACATATAAACACCCCTTGCTTTGATCACCCTCCTCCTTCCTTCTACAGCTGTCATCCACGATATCCATCCTCTTTTCTTCTCCAACTCCTGCCCCGCAACCCACTACTATTTTCTTTATGTTTGCATGTGCATGCTCATTGAAGTGCGGCATTCTAAGGTGGCTAATTAGGAACACGGAGAGACATTAGTTTGGCTAGCAATGATGAGGAGGAGAGAATGTTGCAGAGGGAGAGGGAGGCACTGAGATGACCAGAAGTGGCATTTCTGTCTTCCCTGTCTTTCTACTCTCTTTCTTCTTCCTCTGATCCAATGTGGTGTGAGACTCTAAAGTCCTTTAATTACCAGCAGCTGCTAGGCATTCACTGAATGCATGAAGACCAAAAAGGGAAAAAAAGAGTGAGGATAAGAATGAGCAGGGAAGAATGAAAGAGGGAGAGAGTGTTTGATGCTCTCGTACACTCATCGGCCGACAAAACGGAGCAGCATTTTGATTGCTGCTCAAAGGGAGCTCATCATCTCGAGCGCTCTTCAGTCGCTGTCCTGTGAATGGGTAGTTCAGCCTTCGTCTGACCACAATCCAAAAACATGGCGTTATGGTGATGCTCCCCTCCCGCCCCCCTTCCCTCTCCCTCCCTTAGCCTGCATCTCGCTGCTGTTAGATTAGCTCTCTAATCATGCCCAAAAGAGGCTTTTCCATCTCAAAATGTCCCATATCACTCCGTCTCTTTCCATCCTCTCAACTCACTCCAACATTCCGGGAGAGGCTGAATGGTTTTGTTGAGATTTGTCAGGATTAGTAACAAGTTTGAGTTATGTCCAAAAGGGTACCAGGTTCAAGGTTAAATTTTTTACCATTATAATATTAAATAATGTTTGCAGTATTACTAATGTTGTAATCAGTGACTGGTTGCGGTAATGTATTATAAGCATGAGGAATTCCGTTCTCTGTGTCAAAATGAGTGTTTGTTGTGAGGGTGACAGCTTAAAGGGTAGAAGTATAGTAGACTCCAGCAGAGAATGAGTCAGCATTTTATTCTGAGTAGAATAATATGTCACTACTACACGGCATTAGTGTCTGACTGTATGTGGCTAATCCACCCAAATCTGTTTCAGTAAACCACAAAACAGTTTGGGTCAGGTACCTGCCTGTCTACCTGTCTAGCAGTGGATCTATTGGGTCCTGTGGCTCAGGGAATGGGACCTCTCTGGACTGGGCTTGTTCCTTTGCATCCTGTTGTTGCTCATTTGAATCGTGACCTCGGAAGTTTGGTTGGCGGTCATGCTCGGGAATCAAATTTGACTTTTTAAGCTGTTTTTATGATGTAGTAGTCCATATAATCTTCCTTGGGAATATTATTGCCTTTGGGGGTTGTGAATGGCCTGCAACAGTAGGTAACACCCATGCAAATATCAATACCAAAGGCTTTCCAGCTGGGCGGTACAGTGTAACAAGAGGATTAGTATTATTTACTTTTCTGTCATTGGTTTTAAAGTTGTGGGTGCTCAGCATATATTGAAGCAGGAAACATCAACCTAGAAAATAGTCATATTTGGCGTTGCATGCATGTTTGCTAAAACACACACACAGACACACACACACACAAAACCCCACAAACTTATTTCTTAAATTATTGTTCCCTAGTTTATGTGGCATGTTTATTACTTCGCTGCAAATTGTGTCACCCAACGACCATAAAATTTCCTCTAATTTCACAGTGGCAACACCAATTAGACTAGCAATGAAAATGGCTGCCTCAGTCCATTGTGAATGTCAGATTGTGTGTCTAATGGCCAACTCATCAGCCAAAGCCTCAGTTAGCAGTCAGGGGGAAGCTGCATCCATCTTCCCAATTGTGCCTAATGAGATATCGATCACAAACATGCAGATCTATCGATATTTCCATAGATTCCTAGCAACTAGAGCTAATACAGGTTGGCAACATGCAGAAATACTGCACCAGTGTGTACAGTATATGTAGGCAGGCAACATATTATACAGTTAATGATCCTAACAACCTACTGTGTATCTCTTGCTTGCTCATTGATTTTCTTTTTGAGATGCTTCCGTCTCTGCAATGCTTCCACTGACTTTTTCCCTTTTTCTCTTTTTCTCTCTGCTCAGCCCACACAAGAAAAGCTATAGCTTGATGCTGAGCACTGAGGAACGGTCTCTTTATAAATTCTCTGGGTTTGCATAAACCTTGACATGTTTGTTCATCTGACCATGGGTGCTCTACTGTTCTTGTTTTGTATAAACACACTGAATTTACACCACAGTAGTTTCAAGATCTTCAAGATACACTGAATGAGATGTGGTCTTGATGTGTTCTGGGTCCTTTGGGCAGTGCCCTGCTGTGACATTATCAGTCACCACTGGAGACAGGCTAAGAGCTACAGTGGTTGGGTTGACCCCTGACATGAACTCTGGGTTTCAAAGTACATGTCAGCCAAAGCCCTGAGGAGTTTACTATTTCCCTTTTCACTTCCTTTAGTACTTCTTGAAGTTTAAATGTATTCCTATACTTTAAAAATGGACCAGTAAGAAACAAATGGACTGGATAAGTTCAAGTGAGGATAAAACACTGAAGAAGGGGTGTGCAGCTATGTGTGTGTCACACAGAGAGCAACCCAGCACAGTACAGCACAGCCTGACATATCCCTGCTCACCTATTGAGTCTGCTTTTCATATTAAGAAGCCAAAGACCCAGTGCAGTCAGCCTTTATGCACATTTACATTAACAAGTTTATTTGATGAAGCACACAGTCCCCAGTCTAGGTTCCCATTCAAAGCAAATCCTGCCAGCAATTCTCTAACATTATGGGTTGCCTCTTAAAACTAGTAAAGCTTTGTTAAGCTCATCAAATATTCAATATACATCCAGTTAAGTCTCTCTGTACATCCTTTATAGCTTCCCGCTGTACTCCTTTCCCCAATCCCCCTGCCCTGCCACCAAAGCATGCCTGTTGTGCTTTTAAATTCCGCAGCCTTATGTCGTCTGTCTCTCATGAGGGGAGGTGGAACGGGAAGGTGATTTTAAAGTGGCTCCCCCTCTGTTCTCTCCTCCTGTTTTTAAACACGGTGCTCACACCAAGAGCTACAATCAGACAGGTCTTCACATTGAAGATGTTGTAGGGGAAAGGGAGGAGGGATGGAAGGACGGCAATCTTTCCCGGTGGCCTGGCTCTCCTGCTCTCTGCTGTCAAGACCATAGTGTGTGCATACGTGTGTTTATGTTATTATTCGATGCTGTCTATTAAATGTGTGAAAGATTAAGTGCAAGGCACTGTATGCTATTATGCACATGTAATTTCCAGAGGGTTTGAGTATACATGATTTGTATGTGGCCATGCCCTCGTATGTGTCTGTTTTAGTTTGTATGCAGGGATGATGCTCTCTACCAGTCGTGCGTCTGTGTGTCTGTCAAGACAAGGTGGAGAAGAGATGACGGTGTAATTTCCTCTCCAAGGCAACAGAATAAGATGCAGACATTGGTGGAATGGACCCCAATTTCTGGCGTCTGCTATCCTAACCCCTACCAACTATAGAAATTGCTTCCTCGGCCAACACTACACCTTACACTGTACATTAGATATAAGTTTCTAAAAGTGAATTAGATTGCAAATACTATGTCAGATTTACACCCTGAACAACGGTGTAGCCCGAACACACTGCTACAATAGTAAACAATATTCTCCACTCAATTTTAGGGTGCATTTTAGCAACTCACCTCCCATGGTTGCACAAAATGGGACTGCCACTCACAACTTCTTTTGTATTCTGCAGAAGACTTGTTGATACCAGAGAGAGCTAATGATGGTGCATGCAGCTACTTCAGCACCCTGGACAGGGCTTAAGGAGCCTAACCAAAATCTGACGCCGCTAGCTCTGGCTGGAATAAAATAGTTTTCAGTTGCTTATTACAGGAAATTGAAAAAGATAAACATATTTGTCCATCTTTGCATACGGAAGATGTGCATTAGAGAACACTTGTTGTATGAAGTGATGGGACACTAAGCATGAGTGAAACTACTGACTGACAGGAGAAAAAGGGAGATCTACAAGGCAGGAGGTCAGAAGGGGGAATATGAGGAAGGCAGGATTGTAGTCAACACTCAGTGGCATGCACTTCAGCTAATGAGAGAGGCAAGGGGTCAGCTTCTAACTACACAGAGATAATGGCCATCTCCTGAAACCATGGCAACAGCTGCCATCCTGCACGCCTTCCACCCCCGCTGCCTCACCCCCTTGCTGCGCTCTCATCTTACTTCACCCCACTGAAATGAATTTTATTTAAAAAAAAAAAAGAGAGAGAGAGAGAGAGAGATTCACATTGAGGAAAATCAATGCAGAGCTTTTTGTCAGTTAATGACTGCCCAGGTTTTTGCATCTGTACCCATACAGCTTGGAGACATGCATAAAACATCGTGCCGCAGCCCACACCTGAAAGCACATTAAGTATCATTTTCTCCTGCCATTGTGAATGTAAAAGAATCACCAAATTGCAGGCAGAGTAATACCTTGCCTAAGAAAGGTGTACTAATTTCAACTTGTATTAGAATAAGACAAAAAGGAGTGTCTTGGGCCGATAATAGCGAGAGAGACGGAGGGGAAGAGAAAGACCGAGGCAAATGAACCAGCGGTGCGGTCAAATGTGTAAAATGAAAAGGTAAAGTAAGAAAAAAACCATCAATATTAAAAAGTATAGTTACCAAAGTAGTGAAGGGGAAAAGCAGGTGATCATCATCAAAAAGTGCTGCAGTGACCCTCCTTTCCCAGTGGGAGATTTCTCACTACTATAATAATTCCACACTTTTCTGCTCTCTAAATTCCCTAGGGAGTGCTTGGAATATTAGTGTGTGTGTGTGTGTGTGTGTGTGTGTGTGTGTGTGTGTGTGTGTGTGTGTGTGTGTGTGTGTGTGTGTGTGTCTTGGTGTGCCTAGTAGTGTGGACTTCTGACAACATAATTGCACACAGAGGCTGTGGATGAAGATGTAGCTTAGAGTCAGTATATGTGAGAGTATGTGGTTAAGAAGCATGATACGGCGCAGAGCACACGGTGCGGAGCACACAGTGCAACACACAACACACACACGCACAGAGCAACCAGGAGAGAATAGCAGAGCTTGTAGTGGCACATCAGCACCATGGACAGCAGCTGACCCTTTAGAGTCCAATTAGAGCTACTGTGACCAGTCAGCCAGTTAGCCAGACACTATAACTGGGTTGGATGAGGATAGAGAGGCTTTGGTGTAATGGGATGGAGAGACCGCACAGTTTTAATAAGTGGTGGGAGGTGGCACAGTTTTAATGAGAGATGTGGCAGTTTCTTGTGATACTTGATACGCAGTCTGACCATTAAGATCTCTTATGAGAGAACGCCTTGTAATTTGTACTAGTTACATCTACAGAGTTATGCTGAGATTGAAGGAAGCAATCTAGCTGTGTTCTGCATCCACTTCTGTGCCACCACTTGTCGCTGCAGTTTATTGGGAATGCATAGCCAGTCACCTACATGTTTATAATAGAGATCAGCTGTTATTAATGATGTGAGTTTCATAAGATATCTTTGAGAATGAGCTATTTTGTAACTGGTTTTTTTTAACCAATCCAATAAGACAGCAAAAATGTTTAAAATAATTTTTCAGCCTGCCATCTGTTTAGCGGAACAAGAGAGAAACACAGTCTGTTAACAGCAACATAACTTGTAGCCAGAATGTAGAGCATGTCACATTTACAGCCTTGATCATCACAAAATAAACAAATCTGGATGACTAACACAGAAAAGCACAAAACAAGGAAAAGTGAGCAAAGAAGCCCCAAGGGTTTGGTGTGATTTTTATTTTTTTTTGTAGGTTATTACTGATCTGTTCAGATGTCCTAAAACAAGCATGGGAAACATCGAAAGGTGGATGATTATGGACTCGTAAGTGCCCATATAGTGGCTGGTGACAAAAGTTGGCTATTAATGTGTTGAGACAGTGACAGTGTTACATCTCCCTACAGCACTGCTGCGGGATATTTGTTTTATTTCTGTTACAGCATTGTTTAATATTCCTTTCCCTACACAGTCTTCACCATCTTTGACAATCCTCATGCTTCCTTTCTTCCATCTGTTTTTGGAAGGAGTTTAAAATTGTCACAATTTCTCATTTTCCCTCCAGTCATAATTGTTACATTATAATTGTAATTTTCATTTTCACATATTTTCATTGCATATCCCTTTGGCGGCACTTTTTTTTTTCTTGTAACTTTTTATTCATGGAATAAGTTGTTTTTCCTCTATTTCCTATCATATCCGACGCGCATATTTTTTCAGTGCTGTATAATATCACTGATGGCATTGAAAAGCAAATATCAGTAACTTCTTTCTACTCTCTGTTCAGATGCTCTCAAAGGAATCGATGTGAACGTGCGGATGAGCCGTACCGTTTTGCTGCTTCGCTCAATCAGTGTGTGAAGGCAACCGTGTATCCAGACAGCATTGCAGTCTCAGAACCTAGCGTACATGTAAGTCTGCACACAAACAAACACGCACTCGCTCACACATATGCATAATCCTACACACAGTATACAACATACCTGCAATATCAACCACTGCTTGCAAAGTCAAAAATGAAAAATTAGCTGCTATCTACGTATTTCCAACCCACGCAACAAAAGCAGAAGTTTTTAAACGATCCCACATAGCTGTTCATCTAGTCTTGAGTTTGGTTGATGCATAAACATTAGATGGGAAGGTTCATAAGGGCTTTATGTGGGCGTTTCAGCATACATATGCTCACTTTTTACAGAGCAGTCAATATGTGTGCCAAGACATGTTTGTGTGGGTGGGTGTGTAGGCGTTAAAGTTGTCCGAGTGCAGTTGAGTACAGTACAGTATTTCTACACGGATTCAGTAAAAGCACGCAAAGATCAACAGTGAAAGGATCTGCCTGTCCAGATTCTGGAGATTGTTGTACATCTATGCACAATCCACACTGTTAGTGAGTCATTTTATGCACATCCTGTTCAGAAAAATGTCTTTGGTTTGAAATGGTATGAGATGTAAGACACTGACTTATAGATGTATTAGGATACATGAAATACTTTTGTGCTGTTAAGAACCATTTCAGTGGACTAAAATGTGAATCTTTAAGCTGAGAGTAGCTGCATTACAGATTTTTAAATGATTTCTTGGGATTTTATTGCAAGTAAAAAACCAAGAACCAAGAAGATCTCTTTAGCACGCCTCTCCAGACATCTTTATAGATTAATTGACAACACATTTTCTTCCATGTATTTTGGTGAGCTGACCTTTTAATTTATGTGGTTAAACATAAAAAAAATAAAGATCTTGTTAACATGCAGTTGGCTCTTGCACTGACTCACCCTGCACCACATTATATCTCACCCTCAAGCCAATGCTCAGCATACCTGGCCCCCGTTGTCCACTTTGCAAACAGCAGTTTATTACATTTTAACAGTTTCACCAACCCCCCCGTTTTGCTGTCATATCAGAAACGGGGTCATCTGACCAACCACAAAACACTCAAATTCACACAGTTCACAAATTCCACAGGGGTAGACTGCTATCACCATGACAACGCAGCTTCTTGAAGTGGGCACCAGGACAGATAGAAAAGGCAGTGAAAACAATGAAATTACCTTTGCTGAAATCTGCAACCAATTATGGTGACTGCCAAGCAGCAAAAACCCCCACCACCATCGTGGTGAAAGGAAGCCAGCAAACGAAAAGAGCAAAATCTTAACTCTCAGAAACAAGCTTATTTTGTGCAATAGCTTACTGTGTCTGTGTTTTTGTGTGTGAGACAATTTCTGCATAAGCAATTTTTGAGTGTTTATCTGTATATGTGTGTCTGAGGACGATGAGAGCTAATTATTGTAAGAGAGGTTACTCGGGGAATTCTGCATTGAACAAAAGACATTGATTGCTGTGATTGCTGTAATCAAGGATCTCTCTGACACCTCAGAGTGAAGCAACACAAACATGGTGAAAGTAAAACAGGGAAAGACAAGAGGTCCTCAGCAGTAAAAAAAATAAAAGAAATCATCCATCCTCTTGATGGGTAACAGAACAAGCCAGCTAACGAGGGAGGCAGTGTAGTCAGCCACTGAGACAGTCAGCATCTCTTAAAAGACCTACAGTTAAGCTGCTCAGCTGCCTTGCCTGTCCCAGTAGCCCTGCGGTGTTTAGTGAGAGGCAGATAAAACAAAGAGAAACTTCAAACGGTATGGCCCAAAAATAACAGCTAATGGAACAAGGCTGTGAAATGCCATGGTGATAATTATCCAGACTGCCTCTCTTGGCTAGAGAGCCAGATCACACACCCTGCACAGAATACATTTATTTATAGGAACAGCAGCTGAATGCTCCAGCCACAGTGTCACTGCTCTCCAGAGAATGACTTCAATCGCCTTTATGTGCATCGGCACTTGTGTAGTGCATCTCATATGTGAGTGTCTCTGTGTGTATTTTTTCCTGTATCTGTCTCACCTTCTAAATACTAAAGAAAGGTAAAAGAAAAAGTAGAATTTGCCATGTGATATTTTTTCCCCATTTTTTCCTCCATGTAGCTTCTACTGCTTCTGAGTGGGTCATGATATTTACCTCTGGAATGATGCCTTCTAGGAACAAATAAGATTAGCTTCTAAATAAACCTTTTTTCCCTTATTATGCTGTTTTTAAGATGCAGAAACGGTTCTTGGCAAAGTGGACGGACAGCTTTGCCAACAGCAGTGTTTTCTTTTCTCATCCTGACTAGAGCTGCTGAATTTAAGCCACTGTCTCCTTTTATAATTTCATCTCAGATTTTCATGTCTTGTTTATCAAAGATGCAACTGTTAATGTTGGTTATGTGTTTTCCCCTATTTATCTGATGTATCACGCATTAGTCTTCTAAATCAGCTCCAGGTATGGGGAAGTTTTAGGGAATTTTTACCAATTTTTTATCTGTTTTCATTAGTGTTAGTGTCCATTTTGATCCATTCTCAAAAAAATGTGTACAACAAACTTCATTACTAAGAACATTGTCATGTCTCACACCATCTGCAGCTGCTAGTGAAGGTGAGCGACGTTCCAGACCTTTCTGCCGGCATCACCTGCTCGTTTGGCAACTTGACAGAAGTAGAGGGCCAGGTCAATGGCAACCAGATACTCTGCAAATCTCCTGCTGCTAAAGATGTCCCCCTCATCCCCACTGACCAAGGTAGATACAGAAAACAGACACACATATATTACCATGTATGCAATGCCAGCTGATGAATGGCTTAGTTGTGAAAATGCTTATTTTCCTGTGCAGTCAACAATACGCTCATCAAAACACAGCCTTTGCTGGATTCTGATATGTCCCTCCCTCTCATTTACAAATCTCTGGGCTAACTGTTCAGCTGCACGTGTACAAACTCTGAAACATATTTAGTGATCCAGCACTCCCAGTTTATTCAGGGGCTGTCTAAATAACAAGCACCCACAGGATTCAGGTTGTTTTGCTATGAACTGTGCTAACACATGACCCCGGCTACTTTAAATCTGCTTGAGGATCCAAATTAGATCCCCTGGCCTGTGGTCCAGCTACATTGCACTTAATGTCTGGCCTTAGATTTGCCTAATAGGGGATGGACTAACACTAGTCCATGGTCTAACCGTAGACCATTCCCTATGGTCTACTCTTCAGTCAGGGATCAATTAGAGGGAGTAAGTTGATTTGATGGATTCCAGTCTTTGCATAGCCAAGGCATAGACAGTTTGCTCTTTACCTCCACTGGTACCTGATGAATTTGAAAGTTTGAAATTGGCTAATTTTATTGAACTCCACAAAACAAGCATGTCACATGACACCTTCTTTGGAATAAACAAGGAAGACTGCTTTTAGATTTGGTGTAAAGGTATGCCAATAACCTCTCTTATATGATTGTTGGAAATCTCATGAACTTCTATTGTAAATACAGGGCACAAATATATCACTCTGGATCAGGCATTCATTTATTTGCAAATGCGTATATCATTGTGAATATTAACATCTGTTGTTTGACAATAAATGCCTCTTGTTTGCAAGGAAAGATGGCTGCAGGATAACAAAACTAAACTGCCTGAATAATATATAATATGCAGTGTATGGAAGTCAATGTGTGTTTTTGGGGGGTTGGTAATCCTCTTTCCTGTGAGTAAATGACAGACCTGTTTGCCCAGAACTCCCATGGGGACAAGTGCATCAGGCACTAATATGAATGTTCTCCCCCAGGTAAATGTCAGCCAATCCCCCCTGTAAGACCTTCCTCCATCCATCAAGCTATCCAGCCAGCTGTTTATACCTTTGTTTTTACTTCACATGCTTTCCCCTGAGGCCACCTCCTCCTGACCTCCATCACCTGTCCCCCTAGCAAGTCTTCTGTCTGTTGCACATCAACACTGATTGTGCCGTGGTGACTTGATCTGAGGAGAACAGAGGAAAGAAAGGAGAAAGGAAGAGGGGGAGGGGAGATCAAGACTTGGAAGGTGGAGACTGATGGAAAATACAGGAGAGAGGCCAAATTAAAATACAATTATGTGAAGGGGCAGGAGAAGAGGTCAGGATAAACTGTGAAGACACTGAACTCGTTAAAGAAAATAGCTGGCACCCTTGTCCACTAAATAAAATGGTCTTAGATGAAGTTTTGTGCAGATATGACCTCTATATGACTTTATCAGATCCTGTGAGACAAATATGTACTAGTAGAAGTCTGTTATGTGCCTGCTATAGAGACTTGTGTGAAACAAATCCTGATTCCCAACAGGTGCTGTGGAGAGAACAGAGCACTAAGGGTCAGTCAGCCCTCCTACTCACTGAATGTCATCTGAAATTCAGGCTGCTCGACACATACAAACAGACACTTGCACATATTTATGGAGCTGGTGTTCTGATAGAGAGAGATAATGTGGCTTTTTTTTTTCACAAAACACAGTCAGAGCTCTGTTCAGCAAAGTGAAGGTAAATAAATTTGGATCTGATTAAATGGTTCTGTATGAGATTGAAATTCAGGTATTTAATTTTCACAGGCTCAATGCAAGCAGTATTCCTTCATGTTACATATTTAAATATATGCAATACTACACAAGAAATACCTTTCTAAGTGATGTGTGTATGTGTGCTAACAACCTTCGTTTCAAAAATATTAATAAGCCTAAAACTAAAATCAGTCTGCTGTTCACAACTACGCAAACAATGCGAACATATTCACTGCTCTGTAACAGTAAAAGATTAAATAAAGGTTGATGTCGTGTCTCCTCTCTTTCAGATTGGTCTGGCGTTGAACTGAGGTTGAATTCTAAGGAGACCGGTCAGATGCTTATCAGCACAGAGGTCAAATTTTACAACTGCAGTGTCCACCAACTGTGAGTATCGCTCTCTGAGTCCATTCATTTTCTTTTTTTGACAAGAACAATGCCCAGAGCTGCTGCCCGAAACCACCGAATCAGTGCTGTGGGACTTTAATCACTATTTGTCTTTAACGTTAGCCTGCCCCAGTCCCCTAAAAATATCCCCTGTAAAAATTAATGTAATCTGATCGCTTGCTGTTCCCCGCGGTCCACACAGGAAGAATCTGTGTTGTGTTGTTAATGAAGCATTCTTTTCAAACATGCTGAACTACAAAACACTCTGCTTTCTGCCTAACAGGCCTTCTGTGGGGATTTCATGCCCATTTTCATGCCATGTCTGTCCCTGATTGAGTGATGTTGAATTGAATCCCTGGATTGGAGATCTTAGTGTCTGCGGTGCCTTTGCAATTGCTTGCTTCATTCCAGTGTGGCAGATTCTGTTTGTGTGAGATTCAAAGGCCTCATTGACTTGGGAGTATCACTGAATTGAGAGTAGTTGAGAAAGGGTATCACAGGGGTTCAGGAATCCTACCATGTCAAATTATCCTTTGACTCTCCCCTTGACATTAAAACAAAATGTTTTAGCCATTGTCTCCTTTGCTAGATAAAAGCAGGCAGTGTTACTCTGCATCTCTCTCTTCGTGTTTTGTCTCCTTTCTCTTCATATTGCTGTTTGAGAACCTTGCCTGAGTAGCACAGAATGCAATTACCAACTCTCACATCAGCTCAGTTAATCACTGATGACAAACAGAGTGCACACAGCCACACACGCGAAGAAATATGCATACATTTGAAAAGGGCATACACCATCCTTTCAGTAATGCCACCTCCTGTTACTTCCCTCTTATTGCACATATCGTTCCCTGTACATTCCTGATAGCGAATCAGCCCGATTCATTCAAATTAGGCTTCTTGACAGAGATCACTCTGATGATTTTTGCCTCAGTGATAATATTTCACAATGAGCATATGTGCAAAAAGGAGACAACGGAAGAGAGAACCAGTTGTGACAACCCCCCCAGCCCACCCCTTTTGAACAACTGCTCAAAAATACATAGCACAGTAAAATCTCATCACAGTCTATTAAAAGTGAGTGCTGTGCTTGCCTTGGTTTGCTTTAGTAACATGCAGAATAGCATGTCTTGTACCTAGTATTTTCCCATCAACTGGTTTTCTTTGGCCATTCTTGTTTTGACTCATCTCACCTTCTGTTCATCTATATAGTTTCTATATACAGTGTTGGAAAGTGCACGTTTATCCTCATTACTGCTATCTTACTAGTATAACACTCCACCTCTCCATCTCTCTCTTTCTTATTGTGATTGTGGTGTCCTATTCACACATGTCACACGTATTAATATATGGTAGAGGAAAATGTATGCAGGGAGAATTTGGCCTAGCAGCTATTAGGTACTGTGCCAACCACAAGGGCACAACAACAGCAGGTGCCCACTTGGGACATGAACTCATTTCCTATGTGGCACTTCCCCCTACTTTGGCAAACTCGTTGTCCCTCCTTGACTGCACTGTTCTTGTTTTTTCCCCCCCTTTCACTCAGTGTGTGCGCATGTGTGTGTTTGTGTGTTCCTGCAGGTGTCTGTCATGTGTGAACAGTGCCTTCCGGTGCCACTGGTGCAAATACCGCAACTTGTGCACCCATGACCCCTCCAGCTGTTCCTTCCAGGAGGGACGGGTCAACGCTTCTGAGGTTGGTGGAGCACACATGGACTTATAACCTAATCCATCTTTTCCTCTCTCTCTTTCACCCTTCCTTTTGCATATTTGCACTTGGTTTCTTTCTACCTGCCTCCTGCACTGCGTTTCAGCTCTGTGTCAGCCTCGGGGCATGTCTTCAGAAAGACAGCCATCTAAGCTTTTCTATTTCTGAAGTGGTGCTACTCATTCAGAGCTCTTGTTCTCTGCAATAGCAATTAACAGTCTATTATCCTTGGAGTTACTGAGCTTAACATGTCTTAACAATGACACAAGATCATTTTGACCACATCAGTAATGATCACTATGTCACTAGCTATGCACATTTACACTACTGGGATTTTAAGTGTTTGCCTTTATTCATTTAAACCCATTCACTTGTATTAAAAGAAACTTGTTAATAATCCCTCTTCTGTACATATATGAGTAGCCTGCTTGCATTGCTTCAGTTCATATGTATTTGCTGTGCATGGCACACAGAGCTTCAGTGGTAAGATTAGATGCAGTACTCACAATTATGAATTAAGACCAGCCTTTCTCTATGACATCAGGAACAGCTATTTTATTTTAGCAACCCTACAATCTAAAGGTATATTTGAATATCGCCTTATGATATTGTATCTATGCTTTAATTGACTTGAGATGTAAAGATTCACAAAGCTAAAGGCCATTAAGAGTGAAGCTTCATTGTGTAAAGCCATAAAGGCAGTTTTCTCAGAGTATTTCAAATAGCAACGACCTCCATTATTACTGAATACTTTAAACCACTGACTACTGATACCATTCTCAGTTTTGACGAATTGAGCAGTTTCATAATTCCTCTCTTGAGAATGTGTATTTCAACGCAGCTCATAGCTTTCCAAGGTCACAGAAATCAGTTATAAATTCTAACTTAGAATTAATCTCCACATTAATTCCACATATTGTGTTTCCTACTTATAATCATCCTCCTTTTTCACCATTATTGCAAAGTTCTTTTGTTCTCCTTCTCTTGCTAAACATGAAAGTGGAACGTTTTTCTTTTTTGTGGACCCTCTCTGCTTTATCCTTCCAGGACTGTCCCCAGCTAGTGCGCTCTGAGGAAATTCTGATCCCAGCAGGCGAGGTGAAGCCTATAACCCTGAAGGCCAAGAATCTGCCACAGCCCCAGTCTGGCCAGCGGGGCTATGAGTGCGTCCTGCACATCCAGGGGGTCAGCCACCGAGTCACTGCCCTCCGCTTCAACAGCTCCAGTGTACAGTGCCAGAACAGTTCGGTAGGTTGTGCGGTGCCTTTTCACATTGAGACAATATTAGTGCAATTGATGATGTGTAATTTGATTTGTCTGTAATTCTCCATTATATAATTACGCACACATTTTAAATACTGTATACAAAAACAGATAATAGCCTGAATCCCATACCATGTGTATGCTTGTGTGTGTGTGTATGTTATTTAGTTAGTGGAGAAATAGTAGCCATCATCATAGATAATTATACAGAAGAAGACTGTAGCACGAGTCTGCCTTCAGAAGTCAATATACTGCTGACGTCTGTAGTATATTCCCAGAGGTACCACAGGCATGCATGTTTTACTTTCCAGTCTTTCGCTCTCCCCTGCACACACACAAACACAAACACAAAAACACACTTGGGCAATGAAAGTCAGGCTAGAATTAAGCGCATGGGAGGCAGTTAAGCACAGCATCAATAAAGGCCAGAGGGAAGCTCAAGCTCCTGCCCAGCTGTCCCATATCTTGTGGCTTTTCACTTTGTCAGCTCCTCAGATACTGAGATGATGTAAGTATGGGGTAATATTGGAAGGACACAGTACTGTCTCCACTTGGGTTCACGGGGATTCAAATTCCCAGACTTCCCATTGAAATCCTCCTCTCTTTTCTGCTTCTATCCCAATCTCTATCTCTTTCTCCCTCTTCATCACTCTGTGGCCTCTAGTATCTGTATGAAGGAATGAAAATCAGTGAGCTTCCTGTGGATTTCTCAGTGGTGTGGAACGGCAACTTTATTATTGACAACCCAGAAAATATTAAAGGTAAGAAGAAAAGATGCTGATGTCAATATCTGCTAGAAAATAGGATGGACGCTGTCATTTTTGGGATATTTTTGTTGGTGCAAATATTCCATTTTTTTGTGAGAGGTCACAAAAGCATTTGTATGTATTCATGTCAAATCATTTGTGGAGTATTTGAGAAATTTGAAAAATATTTTACTCATAGCAGACTATCTACCAGTTTTCCTTTTAACAATAACAGCAATACTTATTGGTATGTTCACTGTATTGCCCATGTCATCCCACAGTGCACTTGTACAAGTGTGCAGCCCAGCGGGACAGCTGCGGCATGTGTCTAAAGGCAGAGAGGAAATTCCAGTGTGGCTGGTGCAGTGGTGAGGGAAGGTGTACACTGAGGCACCACTGCCCCCCCATCAACCCTTACACAACCCGCTGGCTGAACCTGTCCAGCAAGAATGTGAAGTGTACCAACCCACGCATCACTGAGGTCAGTACCTATAATCCCTCATCTGTCCTTCCTACCTGCCCACACAGATCCAGCGGTCGATCGATATGTAATTATCAGCTTCCGTTGCAAGGTGTGTCTTGCATCTTGTCACAGTTCTTTCACAGAGGGTCATGAGGCGCTCAGCTGAGACTGTAGAAGTATACTTAAAATTCAAAGTTAACAGCTCAGACAGCTTAAAACGGCTTAATAAGACATTGTCATCTGTGCCAGTGGCAAGGCAGTTACAAAGTGAAAAACCTGTTCTGTATTCTCCAAAGCACATCATGATCACTAAATTGCAGCAGAATAAGAATACACTTGACTCTGGCATGCTGTTTTTTAACATTTAAGTTGAAGCGGTAATAGCGGGATTCTTGAGAGATGGATAGGACCTCTGATAAATTAAAATTTTTATCTTGTACAAGATAGAACAAGGTGTTGCATGAGAAGCAGCTGTTCTACTCTACTTTGGTTTTGTGTGGACTCAGAAAGAATGAGAATAAACCTTCAATAGGCTCCCTACTGTGCTTGGCCCACCAAATGCCTGCACATCCTTAAATGTTTGTTGCCTTTCTGTCTGTCCTTTTATCTTGCCTTTTCTTTTTCTGTGTTTATCTATCTTTATTTGCTTAAAAACAAAAATTATATGTATGGCTGTTTATGTACCTGTGCGGCTATATGTGTTATACTCGCAGGTGCTTATTCTTATGAGAGTTCTTTTCATCTTCAAGACTTATCCAAGGGCAAGGACACACAAATACATGCACACACAGACACACATGCACGCACAGAAATAGAGCTTGAGATTTGTAGTTTTAAAGGGCTGTCTCTTTGACATCTGCTTTCTCTTTGTGCATAGGCACAGCTCCCTGCTCATAGATTTTAATGTCTTTTGTCCTCACACAAGGTTATTCCAGCCCTTTGAAAGTTTCTTTGGCACCAATAACTGTTAAAAAGGGAATTTCACAAGCAAGTAATCGTAGTTTTTTTAAATTATCTTTGCATCCATAACCAAGTGAATGAGCGGTGCTCCTTCTTGTTTTTTCTGTCATGCTGAATTTTCACAGACATGACTAGAACCCAATAGCTGGATGTCCTCCACATCAGCAAGATCGGGATCATGACCTGGAAGTGCTTATTTGTTTTCCACAAGCAGACCTTTGCTTACTCAAAGCCCCCACTGTCGGTCTGCTGTCACAGAGGAGTCAGGCCAGGAGGGGCCGACTATTTAATTAGCTTGGTAACACACCAGTGCATTGTGGTTAACCTACCAGACCTATCTGCCTCCACATTTATTCATTTAGCTTCTTTTTCCTCCACTACATACCCACATGTAACTCTAGCCAATTAAAAACTGAAGCTAACAACTTGGGTAATTGATTTGCTATACTACACGCAAATAATCACGAAAAATAGGCAAGCTGATGAAGTCCGACCGATCTTCTTTTTTCTTTTCCCTGCTGTCTTATACCTCCATGTTTTTTGTTCTTGTGTCTCTGTGTTTAACTGTTTCTGACTCTTTTTGCCAAATTACATCCATTATGATGAATTTGAGACACATCATGCAATGGGACTTGCAATAGTGAAGAGCACAAAAGAAGCAATAAATAAAACAGGTAACCAAAAGTAAGCTTAAACATTGAGAACCTTGCATTACTACAGTGGGGCAAAAAAGTATTTAGTCAGCCACCGATTGTGCAAGTTCCCCCACCTAAAATGATGACAGAGGTCAGTAATTTGCACCAGAGGTACACTTCAACTGTGAGAGACAGAATGTGAAAGAAAAATCCATGAATCCACATGGTAGGATTTGTAGAGAATTTATTCGTAAATCAGGGTGGAAAATAAGTATTTGGTCAACAACAAAAATACAACTCAATACTTTGTAACATAACCTTTGTTGGCAATAACAGAGGTCAAACGTTTACTATAGGTCTTTACCAGGTTTGCACACACAGTAGCTGGTATTTTGGCCCATTCCTCCATGCAGATCTTCTCGAGAGCAGTGATGTTTTGGGGCTGTCGCCGAGCAACACAGACTTTCAACTCCCGCCACAGATTTTCTATGGGGTTGAGGTCTGGAGACTGGCTAGGCCACTCCAGGACTTTCAAATGCTTCTTACGGAGCCACTCCTTTGTTGCCCGGGCGGTGTGTTTTGGATCATTGTCATGTTGGAAGACCCAGCCTCGTTTCATCTTCAAAGTTCTCACTGATGGAAGGAGGTTTTGGCTCAAAATCTCACGATACATGGCCCCATTCATTCTGTCCTTAACACGGATCAGTCGTCCTGTCCCCTTGGCAGAAAAACAGCCCCATAGCATGATGTTTCCACCCCCATGCTTCACAGTAGGTATGGTGTTCTTGGGATGCAACTCAGTATTCTTCTTCCTCCAAACACGACGAGTTGAGTTTATACCAAAAAGTTCTACTTTGGTTTCATCTGACCACATGACATTCTCCCAATCCTCTGCTGTATCATCCATGTGCTCTCTGTCAAACTTCAGACGGGCCTGGACATGCACTGGCTTCAGCAGCGGAACACGTCTGGCACTGCGGGATTTGATTCCCTGCCATTGTAGTGTGTTACTGATGGTGACCTTTGTTACTTTGGTCCCAGCTCTCTGCAGGTCATTCACCAGGTCCCCCCGTGTGGTTCTGGGATCTTTGCTCACCGTTCTCATGATCATTTTGACCCCACGGGATGAGATCTTGTGTGGAGCCCCAGATCGAGGGAGATTATCAGTGGTCTTGTATGTCTTCCATTTTCTGATGATTGCTCCCACAGTTGATTTTTTCACACCAAGCTGCTTGCCTATTGTAGATTCACTCTTCCCAGTCTGGTGCAGGTCTACAATACTTTTCCTGGTGTCCTTCGAAAGCTCTTTGGTCTTGGCCATGGCAGAGTTTGGAGTCTGACTGTTTGAGGCTGTGGACAGGTGTCTTTTATACAGATGATGAGTTCAAACAGGTGCCATTCATACAGGTAATGAGTGGGGGACAGAAAAGCTTCTTACAGAAGACGTTACAGGTCTGTGAGAGCCAGAGATTTTCCTTGTTTGAGGTGACCAAATACTTATTTTCCACCCTGATTTACGAATAAATTCTTTACAAATCCTACCATGTGGATTCATGGATTTTTTTTTCACATTCTGTCTCTCACAGTTGAAGTGTACCTCTGGTTCAAATTACTGACCTCTGTCATCATTTTAAGTGGGGGAACTTGCACAATCGGTGGCTGACTAAATACTTTTTTGCCCCACTGTATATCTATACTGCATCCATCAGTTGTCCAATGTTTAAGCAATGATGTCAAAAGCAAATCTGAAAACTACAGAATGTAACAAATCGGTTTTGAAATGACATGGCAAGCCAAAGGAAAAAGCTCACAGGGGAAATGACTGGCATAATTATTATTTTTATATTATTCTTCAATTAGCACTTCTATCAAAAACCAGTGATTGACAATATGTTACAGAAGCAGAGCTACACGGTCAGTCTTTCCGTTTAAGTGGAAGAAAAATAAAAAACTACACTTGTGAATGTATGAATGGTTTGGGTGAGGTGAAACGATTCAAGCAAGACAACAAAAGACTGAGGGGGAGATGTAAAGTCATCAAAGGTGGGAAGAACAAAGGAGCTGGGGAGTAGGGGGGAAGTTTGGGCATGGGGGGCTCCTGAGGCCAATCTAAAATCAGATCTGTTTATGGCTGTAGGTGGCAAAATCAACTCTGCGTGAGCATGTACTTCAGACAGACACACCTATTTTCTACTCATCATCGGTAGTGAAGCCAGCGCTCATCATTCGTGCGTCGTCCTAGCACCCCCCCCGCCCCCGCCCCCCTCCCGTCTCTCAGTGATTACAGTTTCTTTAAGAAGCCGACATCCCCCTGTTGGGCTGAATTTATTAATAAATTTGGTTTTGATTGTATGCACCAAAGCCCCCATCAAGAGCTGATTTGTATACATACTAACACATTAGTAGATGTGCCTTCCACAAGATAGGCCTTTTGAATAATTAATGTTTCTATTAAGTGCCACGGTGCCTCCCACCACGGGCCATTAATATTGAAGAGATGTAAGCCCCTGCTAACAGCAGAGGGAACAACATCAAATGAAGCTGGGAGTTAGATGGGCATATGAAAGGCGTTTCCTCAATACGCTTCGGCCGTGGCTTCTGTATGAGTTAACTGTATAGCAAAGAAGCTCCCCTGCCTCTAGTGACAGTAAATATAAACATCTAGCTATAGCCTTAGGAAAGAAAAAATATGGGATTCCTTTTTTCTCTTTCTTCCTCAAACATGCAAGTGAATGCATGCTTTTTGTTGATATTTTGAACTCCACAGGGATAGCAGGCCTGTCAGCTGTTATCAGACTACAACTGAACTCTGCTTACTGCTGTAACCCCGAGAGTGCTTCTGTACTGTATGGATGCTGACCTTTATTAAATCTGCCAGCTGAAGAATAAAATATTGCTCAGCACCCCACAGATTCACATGCAAACCAGATGATAGGTTACAATTCCCCATTCAAATCGCAGGTCTTGTTTTTTGTTTTTTTTTTACATAGTCTTCTTTTGTTTTTTACTTGTTTTCAGCTCATTTTCATTGTAACCAATATGTCTTAGCCTATTACAAGACATTCAAGACTCTATAAAGTATTTAGGATGCAGTTTGTTCTGGAACAAGCGATCAGTGGGGTTTTATCAAGCCCATTAAATGCTTCTCACAATTAAATGTGACATGCTAGAATTAGTCTGAGCTAAGAATTAGTCTGAGTGGCAAGACAAAGAGATTATCTGCAAGCTTCTAAATGATATCAAAGGTTGTTTAATTTCAAAAGCCAAACATAGAGCTTTGGGAAAAACAGAAATCTCCCACTGTGGTGTTTGTAAGGGCATAAAAAGATCGTATCCTATACAGGGAGTGCAGAATTATTAGGCAAGAATAATTTTATTATTGAACAACAACCATGTTCTCAACGAACCCAAAAAACTCATTAATATCAAAGCTGAATGTTTTTGGAAGTAGTTTTTAGTTTGTTTTTAGTTTTAGCTATTTTAGGGGGATATCTGTGTGTGCAGGTGACTATTACTGTGCATAATTATTAGGCAACTTAACAAAAAACAAATAAAGGAAAGGAAGTTGCCTAATAATTATGCACACCTGATATAGGGTGTTGATGACACCAAACCACAACCCTTCTCATTACAGAGAGGCACATCACCTAATATGCTTAATTGGTAGTAGGCTTTCGAGCCTATACAGCTTGGAGTAAGACAACATGCATGAGGAGGATGACGTGGACAAAATACTCATTTGCCTAATAATTCTGCACTCCCTGTATATCTAAGCTTTATTGAAAGTAGATAATAATGAACATACAGTAGATTTTTTTCGTATTATAGATTTTAATAGTAAATGAGGAATATTATTATTGCTGAATTCCACCGGGCTCGGTCAGCTGCTGTAGTTACAGTGACATGCTTGGCTTGCATAGCCCGAAGGCAGCTCGGTTGGTGTATTGCACTCTGCTCTATGTATTGAGTTTAGCATTGGCTGCATCAGCACATCTTTCCCCGCCATTACTTCAGCTGAATATGTCAGCACCACGCTGACAGACAGCCCCAGGTTATTCACATTGAAGCCCATTTCTCTCTGTCGCCATAGTTTTTGTTATTTCTCAGAATAACAAGGTGTCTTCTCAAAACTAGCCAGCATTTTTTTTTCTGGAAATTGATTTCTTGTACATCAGAATGTCTTTTTTTTTATTTATTTATTTTTTTACTTAAGCCATGCATTTTTATCTCTAATGATTCTAGTGTTTTTTCATTTATTCTTTTCATGGTCTTTTGGCCAGAGAGAGATACATTATGCCAGAGCGACTGCATGAGTAGGAGCAGGGAGAGTGGCTTGCAAGCTGACTGCCTGTTTGCTGGGAATTACCCTCTATTGACAGTGTGACAATGCCAGGCGGGCAGCAGCACTGCTGCTAAAAGGATTACATAGGGAGCATGGCATGGCAGCACTGGGTGGGAAAAGGGAGCTGGGGCAGAAGGGCGTGTGTGTGCATGACCAGCAACGCTTCCTTTTCCCTTCTGAAATACAGTTTGGTAAAGCAAAACAAGCAAACTAGAGGAAGAGGAAGATGTGTCACATGGCCTGGGGAGATAAGATGATGGATGGGAAGAAAACAAAGAAAGAGTGATGCAAACAAGATAATTTTGCAGTGAAATATAAACACAAACCTATGCTACCAGATGATAGTATATATGACTACTTTTATTTGTCTATAAAGAACATTAGAACTAATGTGATTGGCAATCAAATCAGTCTTGTAAACAAAAAAAAAATTCTTTATAGATCTGGTTCCTTTGTATGTGTTAGAAATGCAGACACAAAGACAAAGAGCAGAAGTTCTCTTATGCCTCACAGCCTGGTGAATCTTTGAAGCGGTAGTTTTTTTTCCATGATCCAGATGAATCAAGGCTCTGTCTGTCAGTGGGGAACTCAGTGAAATGGGTTTTCTGCGTGAACTGGACTATCATCATGTCCTTGGTCCACCATGGGAAGTGTCCATTTCAGTCTCTAAGTAGAAGGAGGAGGACTCCCAAGCTTTTAGCATGCCCGTCTGTGATACAGCACTGCTGTCCTGTCACCGTCCCTGCCTCACCTGTCACCCGTCTTGTCTGATGGGACCGAAACTGCGTCCACTTCCCCCCGCTGCTCACCCCATTTTCACTCTTCTTTCTTCCATTCCCTTCCTCTTCGTGCTTTTCCTTTCTTTTTTTCCCCTCCCTTGTTTTCTCACAGGCCCTCACGTTGCTTATGTAACCATCACTAAGTCTACTCGAATAGCTGCTGCCATCGCCTGACATGGATATATTTAGCCATTATGTTCCCCCCTTCTATACCCTGCATGCCCAAGCAGTGCTAAAAGATTCATGTATTCAGGCCCCTCAGGCGTTGCAGTGACACACTTACTTTACATCCAGAGCAATTAATGTCCACTGAATCTAGATTACAATGCCAGCATCCCACACGGAAGCCGCAATGCCCTAGTGGGTGTTGGGGGTGGGGATAGAGGGTGTACAGCAAGTCTTAAAGGGTTGCCATCACGTGGGGGTTTGCAGTTCAGTGAGCGGGTACAACTGACTCTTGTTTTTTCCCTTCTGCTTGCATGGTCAGTAATAGCGTATTGATTGTTTGCATAGCAGCCCCACACAGCAAAGTGACAGTCTATCCTCCCTGCTGCCCTCCTCTCTTGGTTTTTCTGTATTCCTTTGGTGACTGCACAGTATTGCCTACTCTCTTGGTCTTTTTTTTCTAACCTTTTTTCCATTTCATTCTGTGTTCTCGTTTTTGTTTTTACTCCTCCTCCTTATCTTGTCCTCTTGTGTTTAAATGGCTGTGTGATGGCCAGGTTGGTGCCTCAACAGGACTCTGCAGCACAGAAGGCACTGTGCCACCCTGTGCCAAGGTCATGCTGGGCAGCCATATTGCATTTTATGAGTAGGTGGTCTTAGCTAATCATTAGTATCCCCCCTTGTTAGATTTAACATCCATGTTAAGCAGGGTAGATTCTGAGCAGGTGGCTTTGCTGAGTGTTAAAAACAGTTTCGTCTTTATCCCAAAGTTCCTTTTTTTTAAAAGATTTGCTGTTGCAGGAGAACGAAATTGCAAAAAAAAAAAAACCTTTGTATTCACTGGTGATTATGTATGCATGGTGTGTGGATGGGTGTAATGCCACATTTTAACAAGAAGAGCTGCAAAACAAGTGTCATTAGGTGCTGTTGTGATTAGAAGTTGCTCTTGGCACAGTGACTCATGGCATGTTCTGACATTTTCTGGATGTAGGACTTAATTGCTTTTACAGCCACCTGGACCAAAAGAGCATATTTACCCTTGAGCACATACAGAAACCTGTACGCATTTATGTGTTTCTATAAACCCGCCGCATCCCTGAAGACAAAAACATCATTTGATGTCTAGTTTCTCTCCAACGTTATAGGTAACACCAGTGGCTGGACCCCCAGAGGGAGGCACCCGGGTGACCATCCATGGCACAAACCTTGGTCTGGCTTTCTCAGATATGGTCGGCAATGTAGAGGTGGCAGGAGTGAGGTGTACCCCTGTAGAGGATGGCTACATCATTGCTGAACAGTAAGTGATCCAAACAGGAATGATCATTTCAAAACTATTGCTAATACTTATTATTGATGGATAACTACACAACATTTAATTACAAACACAATTATTCCTTCAAGTTAAGTGAAAACATGACGTTTCTTCCAACCAACCCTCCCAGTTTATAAGCAGATCTCATTTGCAGAAAGTGTATATGTACATTGTATGTAATAACAGTTATTTATAGGAATTGCTGCACATGGTGTGGCCATGTTGCTAACAGTAGCAAAATATTCTAAATGGACTATATTTGCTGTTCCTACAAGTGTATAAAAGTAGGAAAAAACAAAATGACAGAGTGACCGAGGTTTTAAGTAATTATTCAGTAACTTAAAAAAAAAATTATAATTTTTTCATGTTCTTTTATTTAATTAATATTGAACAATGCATAGGGATGCATTCAATCTGTTATTAACTCTCATAATAGCATGCATCTAGCCTTAGGTTTTGATACATTATTTATGTGCTGTAACAGCTAATAAGCTCTAAACTATATATGTGTGTTGCACAATCTCCCGCTTTAATGAAGACTGGAGCAGGTCCAAACAGTCTGGTCTTGACATTGCTGTTTTCCCTCCCTGCAGCACAGTAGCCCAGTTCTCTCTGTGTAGCTCATCTAGTCAGCAACAATCCCATAACAGCTGTGTGTGTTTACTTGTGTTTACCTCCTTAATTGTCCCATGCTGTGTGTACATCATGGTAAAGTCTGTCCCGTTCACCCTGAACTAATGAAACGTGGCCCATGCTTCCCAACTTGCCCACCACCCCCTTGGCTAGACACACAAACGTGTGTAGACTTAAAGACCCAGCGCCTCATGGTTGTTTAATCTCAGGTTGTGTTAGCCCTCCCAAGATAGATGTATGTATAGATAGTGTGTTAGTTTACCCTAAAAATATATATGTACATATTTAGACTAGGGTTAGGTTGAGTTGCCTTTGGGAATTGAGCTTCATTGTTGAGGGAAAGGCAATACTTCATTATAAAAAAAACTATTCTATTATGATTTTTAAGCATTTTATGCAGAAGGAACAAAAATACACATTATGGAGCAATTACAGGTTAGATAATTGTACCACGGAAAATCAATAGGATATGAGGAATAGTCTATTAAAATAGTACAACATTGCTATTGTAACCTTTATTATTGGACCCTTCAGCCACCACAGCTCCCTAGAAATTTTATTATAATATTTATAGTTTTCTTTAGGAGAGACAGGTACTCAGAAATAATTGGCTTTTCTTTCAGTTAAAGTGAAATTCTCTCCCTACTGACTTTAAATCAGTAGGAAAATGGTGTTAAGAATGAAATGTATAGCAATTCACTAAAAAAGATGACAGGCATGAACCCACATGTGAATGAACCCACACACCAACACCCATGCAGCCTATCACTGTCATGGTTCTCAGAGGAGCCTTTAACCCTAATTGTTTTCTTTGACCTACTTGTGCCCTCAGAAAGAGAACAGCGAAGCGTGATGCCATTGCTATAAGTCGCATAGTTTAACTTCTGCATGGTGTTACAAAGACATATCTCGCAGTCACATGTGCACACTTGCTACTACTGTTTACTGTGATGCGGTAATAAAGTAGTAAAGCTATAACAGCTCACATGGCATAGAGTATTTCTGTGGTTCCTTGCCCTGCATTGAGTAGCTGTATAGCTGTAATTAAAATCCACTTGGCTGTAGGAGACACTTTGTGTGCAGCACACTGATCTGACAGCACTTTAATGCGATTGGGGACAAGCTGGGGAATTCATTTATATGGCGGGTAAAGAAAAAAAAATTGACTGTGCAAAATTAAAAAACTAACCTATAACCTTTTAAGTCCAACTTTGAAGGAGATGAAGTCGTCCAGATGATATACTGAGCTGGACTTTTATTCAGCACCTTTGGATTGTATTTTGCCTCTAGGTTCATTATGCGCATGTCCTTAGCTGACTGTTGGTGTTTGTTTTGAGTCTTAATTCAGTCATCAGCCACCCTATGATGGACTGGACTGTACAAAAAAACATACATATTTATGTGTCTTTTATGTTACTACTTCAGAGGTGTGTGTGAAAGCTACTCCTGCTTTGAAGAAAAAGTCTGAACTTTTGTTTGTTCCTTTTTTCCAGCTGTCAAAAAGTACTTTTTTAAGGGCTGAGACTATTCTGCAGCATTTTTTGTTGTAGATTCCAAACTGAAACCTTATTTGTATGAATGAATTTTAAAAGTAACCTGCAAGTTTGTTTTTTGTTTTTTTAGCAGACTTAATTGCGAAGATCCACAGAGAAAATGAATGATAAATTAAAAAAAACAAAACACAAAAAACTCAACTTATTATCATAATTCTGTAACTTTGCAAATGGCCAGTACAGTTTTGCTTTCAGGTAGGAAGCAAGCGAGTCTCTGTTTTTGTGAGGTGCAGTAAGAGGATATTATTAGGTTTGTCAGCAAGTAAATCCTCCTTTAGCTACACTCGTCCACATAGCTCATCCAACAAAGCTCTCAAAGTCATTTGTTGTAATTCAGATGATCAGTGCTGGAGAAACAATACATCTGCTCTGCTTCATCAGCTCCGCTCCTACCTGCCCCTGCCATCTGCTCCCCCACATATTCCATCTCTCTTTTCACACTGTGATTGCTTCTTGTACTTTATTACTCCCTGGCACCAGCGATCAATAGACGCTCTCATTTTATTATGTCATTCGATCTAGTCACCTGCAGTGCTGGGAGATACCTGATCACATGATATGATGGAACGGTATTGATCTTGCTGCATGATTAACATTAGTCTTGCTGTACTGGCACAGCACCACCACTGTTGGGGAGGGCTAGCTGTTAGTGGGAAATTTACTACATTCAGGTGCAGCGTGCTGGAGTGCCAAAAGAGGAGCAGACATGGTCTCATTTAAAGATTGTCATCGATGTCTGACTGTGTCATGTAATGAAATGAATGAAACTACAAAAAATATTGTAATTAGAGCAGAAGATATATCAATATCAAGCAGCGAAGTGCTTTGAATATTCTTTTCTACAACGTTGCTTAAGCATTAAATCATGAAGACCATGTTTAAGTTTAATGTTACTTTTTTTTTTTTTAAATTGAATTCCCGCTTCAAGTATCAGAATCAGAAAGGGTTTATTGCCAGATGTTGAGCAGGTTTACAACATTAGGAAATTGCTGCGGTGCTTCAGTGCAAACATACTGTCATAAACATACTGTCATAAAAATATAAAAATAAGAATAAGAATTAAAAGTGCTAAGTGGATAGATATATACATGATATATACGGGAGTATACTTCTGTTCCTGAAGTCATTTTAATTGGAAACCCATTTTAACTGTCTTTTGCAGGATCGTATGTGAGATGGATATGGCCCATGCGGACAGTATGCCGGGTCCAGTACAGCTCTGTGTCGGAGAGTGCAAACCAGAACTCCGGGCTCGTTCCTCACAACTCTACTCCTTTGTGGTATGAGTGTAATTAAACTCCATTTGTATTGTATTCTGAAATAACACTTGTGATTTAGTCAGTATATGGCTAAAAAGAATCTATGTACAACTAACTAAATATATTATATAACTAAATATATATATATATAATTATATAAATAGCCATATACTAAGTATATGGCTATTTCCAACTTTTATGTACAGTCTGTGTGTACTTGCCATCCTCACACACTCGCACACATTTCCTTTTCTCAGATATCTGCTGTCTACCTGACCTGCACCTAACAGTTAATCTGCTTTCTCATTAGCACCCTCTCACACCTTCACAATTAGCACTCTTTTAACTATTAACAGCAGTCAGTAATTACTGCTGTTGTTTTCAGAGTACCTGCACTATCCTGCATGCTGGATGTCACACGTCGCTGTCAGTTTTGAGTTTTGTCAGCATGATGCTCTTGGCTCGGTAACACAGGCTTGGCCACTTTTTCTCACCAGTGATACGGCTGCTACTCTGGGAAGCAGTGGAATTCCTCTGAGATTACTTCACAGAGCTTAGAATTGGCAACGCTTACAATTCCCTTCTATTGCAGTGCACCTAAAAAAGACTGCATCATCACAGGAGCATTCTTCAGACAAGACATATTCCCTACGTGACCTTGTAGACAAAGGGACATTGTAAATGACAGTGTGCATTTAGTCGCTTTTAAAATGGTTGTTTTATGTTTGTTCAGATACAGGTGTGTGCACACAGATGCTTTTATGTGTGTACGTGTGTTCCTGTGTATGTGTGCTGTCTACTTGAATATTACTCCATCTGTCTGTGTGACAGCATCCTGGCTGCACGCCGCTGAAAGCATTCGTTATTTTCAGATTGTCTTTAAAAAAGCTCCACTCAGATACAACCCAGCAATGCAGGGCACCCAGTAGTGGAATCTATAAGAGGACACTAAGGCTTTATTGTACTGCAGTTCACTGCCATCACTCTGACACTGAGAATAACTGTAATTTGCTGGAAATTAGTGATAACACTGAGTGTTACAACAGAGATGCTCCCCTGCTTACTGTAAAACGCATATATCTTTTAATCTGTCTGCTGGTCTCGTGTCATTTCTTCCTGTTCCTTTCCCTCATTTTAAATGACTCTGACAGTCTGTCCTAATGTCTCTCTTTCTGCATCTGTGGTTTTTTTGTTTTGTTTTTTTAGACTCCAACTGTCACAGGCCTGTCTCCTAGAAGAGGTCCAGAGTCTGGGGGCACTAAAGTAACTATAATGGGAGAAAACCTCGGTGCCGGCAGCAGTGTCAACGTTAAGTTTGGAAACCAGACATGCGAGTTCTTTGGGTGAGATCTTAATCTCCAACATAATTGTCCTGCATATGTGCTGCTACAGAGTCTGCAGAAGGAGGAAATGCACATCATGGTGGAAACACTAAACGTTTATGTTGATATTGTGGAGTTAAACTAATCCAGTCACCATAAATGCCATGAATTTCCATACATAGCACAAATAGCAGTTTCTCATAATATAAAAATGATTTGAATTAGTTTAGCTAAGTTTTTGCCCTCCAGCATAACTGTCAGAAAATGTTGGCTATATGGCATGCTATTAGCAATTTTTAAGAGTAAATAAATAAAACAACAGCTTGTGTTGTCAAGATAGTGATTTATTCACATTAAATAAGCAGCATTTCTATGTCTTTATTCTTTTGTTTTGGGTTTTTTTTCCCTTTGATATTATACTGCGAATACCCCCCAAAGGGGAACCTCTTTATACCTTTGTTAAAACTTGTGTAAATTCTAATAAGGTTTTGATGACCTACTGCATCAAACCTTGTAATAATATCTTCCTTTTTTATCTAGCCCCATCCTTCTCATTCTCTTCATTCTCCCATTCCTAATTAGTTTATCTGTTCTCCCCCATCCCTCAAATTTTTTAATTCTCAGTCTCACAAGTTGCTTCCATTTCTCTACACCCATCCCTCCTGCCGTCTTTTAGTTACTCATACATGCCCTCTTTCTGATTTCCACTCCTGGAGGCACCTATTTTAAGCCCTGCCACAGTGTTCTGACTGTAATGTTGTAAGGTTGAGGAGTCAAGTAAACTTTAATGAGATATGGGGCTAATTACAGCTTCTTCACTGTATTCCTGTCATGGGAGAAAGAGGTAGATGTGGGCCTGCTCTACTACAAGCACTCTACTAATGAATTTGGACAAATTCTGAGGGTTTGTGTGTAGATCGCAAAGTCTTGTACAGGGAGGAGAAAGCATGTTTTAGAAGGATGTATGAGAGCTGAAAGTACTGACTGCATGTTAATGTGCACTGAGTGCACCTGTTCGTCATGTTTTGAGTGGGATAATTACAGAACAGGTCTCACAGAAAAAAATAGTATGTTTTTTTGCTCATATAAATCAAGTTTGTGTCTTCTCATATTCATTCGTTTTGCTACAGATTTATAGAGATGTTCTTATTTTTTTGTGTAGAAGGACAAAGACAGAGATAGTGTGCTACTCTGCCCCTTCTCTGTCTGGAGTCGGCCCAGTTCAGATCAGCGTCAGCGTGGATCGTGCCCAAATCAGAGAGAGCCTTACCTTTGAGTACACAGAGGACCCTACTGTACAGCGCATTGAACCAGACTGGAGCATTGCAAGGTATGCACATTCCTCAGATTGTATGTATGAGAGTTTTATTCGTGTCCTCAGCTACCAGCCTTGAGCTTTTGACACGTAGACAAGAATTTCCCAATCCAAAGCTTTAGAGCCAATCAGTCCAAGCCAGCAACAATAAACAGACGAGTCAATATTGCATTTTCAATTACTGTTCGGTTCTTTTCCAATTAGTCTGGAATTGATAGAAGAAGTGAAGCTCACTGATTGGAGAGGATGGGCACTTTTGAGACTGAGATTCTCCTACTGAATGCAGTGTCGATCCATGTGTTGAACGTCTTTGGCAGATAGATACACAGACATAGAAGACTACTAATTAAAAGGAGGAGAGGGATGAAGATGAAACAATGGCATAACAGAACAATGTGCTATCAGAGGTGTGAGTCCACAACAGATGGCGTGAGCTTAGAGATGGAGAGTATGGCACGCTGCAGCAAAATCGTGACAACACAAAGGGAATAGGAGGAATAACGAAGGGAGAAACTGATAGGAACCACATATCTGTTTTGCTTTCTTTGTGTTTCGGAAGAGAAAATAAATTAAATTTCCATCTAATTCCATTTTAAATTACACAGTGTGAACTGATTTTCAATGTCTCAAAAATTGGAGCTCAAATTGTGTAGAAAGACAGAAAGAAAAGCGAGCACGGAGCAGTTATTTTGCATAGTTGCTGAGTGTATAATCTATGGACGCACACGGTCTGTCCACAGTAACTCACTACTGGTACAGTGATCTTTACCCTAAACCTTTATTCAGCAAACCACATTGACAAGTGCAACAGAAAAAAACATTTTTAACAAATCCAACCAGCTACAGGAGGGCTGGGAATTCAGCAATTTTCCACCTCCTCTGTTTATGCATATTAATATATTTGAGCTGTCTGTTTTTTATTTATTTTTTTTGCGCTACTTGATTGTGAATAGTAAAAACATAAAAAATGCATCTCTAATCACCATCTTCCATGGGCTGTTTTGTCCCAAATTAACCTTTAAATGGCTTTTGATATGAAGCTTTTTGTTCCCCAAGTGATGGGGAACACTTTGAAGAAACAGATCAGAGTTAGAAAGTTTACAATAGGCTTTGGACTGCTGCGGGTCTTTTTCTCAGATATTCTCTTTCTTAGTCTGCACAAAATGAAATTCAGATCTGACAAACATGATTATAAAAACTCCTGTAATGAATTTTGTCTAACTTCTTCCATTTATTCAGCGGTCACACACCCCTGATGGTGACGGGAACTAATCTGGATGTGGTTCAAGAGCCCCGGATCAGAGTGAAATATGCCGGCCGAGAGTCTGTCAATGTAAGAATCACTCACTATTAATCTGTTTTCAACCACAAAGTCTCTGCTGTATGTGTAATAGAAATCTTCTACTGTACTACTTCCAGCTTGCCATGCTATATAAGCAGCTAAGTGACATTTACTTCAGGTAAAACGGTCCTTAACAGGCCCTCTAGCCCTCTACGCTCTCTGATTTATGCTTGATCCCAGTCTTCTTGACCCCAGAGCATATAAATATTGCAGCTGTTGGTGAGAGTGATCCACATGCACTATTTAATATAGAGTTTACTTAAAAATTTTTTGACCATCTCACCTCCCACCTACTTGGTGTTTTATTTACACTGCTCTCCTGACTCCCGAATACCATTTTCACTTGTTTGAGAAAAGATAAAGAGGCAGCTGGAGGACAGTAGAAGTTGACCAAGACTATAAAAGGTTCAGTGGGGAAAATGTTAGAGGTGTGCATCGTTGGAGGCAAGAAGGCTCATAATGACTTTCAATGGAAGATTAACTGCAGTCAGAAGTCTTTGGTCAGCATAAAGACCGCTTGTATAATCAAAGACTTGTCTGAAGGAAATCGTTACAAATTGCATTTGAGCCCCTGTCCTGGGGGTCCTTGTTTAATTAAGAGGATGGGATTTCCTCTCTGTGGTCTGCTATAAGGTGGAGAGGGCAGATGAATACAATAAAGGGGAGTTTGAGGAACAGAGAGTAGTGAGCCCATTATTGTGTATCTGTTTAGTTTCTGTGCGTCTTTTGTAAAATCAATTTTCACACATGCACTATGGCCCTGACCCACGCTGCACATTACCAAGCAGGGATGTAAGTAAGAACTGAAGCTGAAATCATTTGGGGTAATTAGGTCCATGTAATGGCTAATTCTGGTGTAAAAATAGAGCAGTCAATTTTTGAGAATTCACAGTGAGTGAGTGGGCATCATGTATCCTGCCTCTAGATTGGCATCATCCCGTGGCAGCATGGTAGCTCAGTGGTTAGCATTCGCTTGCTTCACCGCACGAAATTTCTTGATCTCAAGACATTTCCTGATGCCGCCAGTGAAAACACAATCTGTACTCACTCTCTGCTAATGCAACATGGCCTAAGATTCTCAAAAACTAACATCTAACTGTGGATAATTGCCAGAATATGTGGCGTGAGTTCTGCTTTGCAAGACAACATCAGAAGACTTGACAAATACACACTATACATTTTCTGATATATGGAAAAAACACACTAGTTTGGAAATATTTCAGTCTCACACCTTCAATTTTCAATATATACAATGTTTAAAAATATCATAAAATAGAATTTCACATTGATGCAGGGATGCACAAAACCATCCTCAAAGCTATCCTTCACATACACAATTCCCTATAGATTTACTCTCATTGCATTTCCAACTTACTGTCTCTAAATTAGCAGTCTAAAATTGGCCTTAAGTGTCTCTCTTGTTTAATGAACATTTCTGGAATGAAAACCATCATTCTGTTCCGAGGTTTCTGAGCTCCAGGATCCTCGTGCGAGATACTGACATGCAGACCTTATGTGAAGTAAAAGACACATAAGACACTGTTTTTATATTTGGAGGAGAGAAAAACACTTGATGAGTGAGACAGAGAAAATCTGGTGAAATGGAATTTGACTTGTGTGTGGGTGCCGTAGTGTCTGATATGTCAGTTTCCAAATCTTTGAAAGCGAGTTGTTCATCTCCACCCTGCCTCGTCTCATCCAACTCCCCACCTAGTGCCTCGCAAAAGACGACTGTGTCACCGTCTTGACTGCCCCCACAGCCACAGAGAATGAATTTCTATTAAATGCTAAGGTTACAATTACCCATCCTTCATCCCACCCTCCCAGGCCCTTCTACCCCTTTCCCTTTTTGTCACGGGAGGAAGGCAAACAGCACAGAAGCCTATAGCAATAAGAGCTGCTGTCTGTCAGCCAGCCTTCAAATGATCACCTGTCTTCCACTAAATTGCTTCTCTTCTCTCCCTCCCTTGTGTCACCTGCATAGATTCACAAAGAAACCAGGAAAGAGGAAAAAAGACAATTTTCTTTGTGAAATGCTCTGTATCTGTCACTGGATTCGCAATTGAAACATTTATCATGATCTTGATTAAAGCTAAAAGGGTTATTTCCCAGCTCTAGAATATTTCCCTGTCCCATACTTTAGATGCCTGGACTGAGTGTCGGGCTTTGGCATGTCAGGTACATTTACGGGTTCAGCACGAGTGTACTGATTGCTCTGCCTGATTGCGAGAGGAGGCTGCAGATCACTGCATAATTAGATTCACATTTTTAGAATTATTTTGCATATTAAGCTATAGAAATTATGTATCCTATAATGCTATACGTGATTTTAACAGTATTAGCATCATGAGCTGATTATTGATCGATATTTATGGCATTATAAATGTCCAAAGTCTCAAAGGCTAGCACTGCTTCCATGGTGGCATTTCTTCTGTGTACTTCTGTAACTAGCTTCAAACAAAACGAAAACCTTTCACCATATGAAACAGTGCTTATGGGATAAATTGGTTTCTGGCTCCACTAGCTAACAGCCACACAGATCTTGGATAGATTGATTAGAGCTGAAGTTAGACTTAATGCCAGTATTAGCAGTTGGTTGGAACAGCGGGCAGGCAGGAAAATAGACATAGTGTAGGAGTAACCAAGTATAGGAACAGCAGAATAACCAGTGACTAGCTATCAAACGTTAGCCTTCAGATGACCTTTGACTCTGTGAAGCCATCGTATTTTTTCCATCTCTACAGTCAGCCAGTCGTATCTTCGCTGGCTCTGACTCTCTCTCTTACCACTACCCTGGCCAGAGACCTTTGAATGATTGAGTGGGCTGTATCCACACAGTAGATCATGGTAATATATTCAGCCAGAGGGGTTGGAGTGTTACTGCCTTAAAACACCCTGGCTCTATCCAACAGTAGAGAAAGAAGACAAATGAGACGGAGATTCCAATTATTTTCTCTTTCTGTTGACCTCAATTCACTTTATCAATGCTGTAAATCTTGTAGCTTCTTTTGCCACATGGCCTACAGGAAGAGATGTACCATTTGTATTTGACAATTAATTGTAAAGTTTTACTGCTTTACTGTTATGACTGAAGCAATCATTGATGAGACGTAGATGGAGTGTAGGAAAACAAGCTTGTAATTCAGAATTTGGGACATATCTAATATCCAGATCTGCTAAAAGGAAGAAATACTGCAAAGGTGTCATGTTGCCCTACTCAGAGGGGAACCAAAGTATCTTTTTTTTTTTTTTAAATAATCTCGCATTGCCCCATTTACCCATCGCTACATTACTCACCCATCACTTTGGATTTGGATGTTACGCTCACTGAAAAACATCTGACATTATAGGAGCAGTTTCCTGGCAGGATTTGGTGAAAGAAAAGATTTAAGAAAGAGAGCGAGAGAGCATAATAGGAAAGTGAGGACAGTGCAAAAAAAGCCCACAGTATCCATCCACGGCAGAGCAGATGGTAGTCAGAGCTTTAGTTGACTTGCAAATGCCTTACTGTTCCATCCCAGGAGTCACAAGGATCGTGTTGGCCCATATGGACCTGTCTATACTGTGTAACGTGTCATTATGCTAACATTAAGAAAGCAGTCTATATCAACTAAACTTGAAGTCTTCTGTCCAATCAACCTTTAACCCTGATTTAAAAACAGAACATACTGTTTTCATTGGTTAATTTGACCTATTTCACTCTGTGATCATATGGGCTTACACGTTAAACAGCCAGGATGACCACATTGAAAGCTCGATGGCTCAGCAGTACAAATATGAGTGGATAAAATTAATTAACTTGATCTATTCATATAGCACTATATTTGCTCTGTAATCACTCAGAATCTTTTGAGTCTCTGAGTGGTACCATTCACACAGTTTTCGTCCTGCTGGCTTGTATTTGTGGATGTGGAACTATGCTGTGCAGATTTTAATAGTTAATTCGAGCTCACTTTGAAGTGACATTTCTGCATGATAAAGCATCTGAAAAAAAAATTAATTCTGATTTCTTTTTTTATGCTGTAACTTTTTAGTTGTTAATGGGATTTCACAGAACCTAAAGTTAGTGAAAGTATGTCATGTGTCCTATCTGGCCTTGCTATCTATTTTCATGAGCTTATCTTTCTGCAAAGCTAATGCACTGCTACTGTGCTTTGTAAAATATAGAAATTAAAAGAAAATTGACAAAACCTAAGAACAGTTTCACACACACACACATGCACACAGAGCTATATTCCAGATATGTTGCTAAGACTATTGCATCATCACCCAGGTTTTGCAGCAAGTGCAGATTTCCAGGCAGCTAGTCAGTCAATTATACATTCGCACAACTGATTTAAAATGCATCACCAAATATCAAGTCCCTTTTCAATTAAAAGCAGCAAACATTAACTTTTTAAAATGTGAGAGTTTTTGCCGCTTTCACTTTTTATTATTGTATCGTTATTGCTGCAAACCAAAGATATTTGGTTTAAACTATTCATCAGACCCCAGAAAATGTCCCTTTTCAATGCGCTCAACTACTGACAGTCACTTGTATCATTTTCTGACTTTAGATAGGCTAAATGATAAAAAGAGATAATCAATTATTTGAATCCGTAGTTGCATTTTTAAGTTGTATCTGAATTTATTTTAAGAATGAGATTCAAGGCTACATAGTGAACATAATCTTCAGTCTATTTCCGAGGGCAAACTAAATAAAGATGCCAGTCCCTTCTTCCACCTCTGCAATCACACTCCTGCAACTTAGCTTGCACCATGCTGGCAAAATCCAATTGGTGTACCCTACACAGAATGAGTTTGCATCGATCTTTCTGGCTTTCTCTGGAGCACGAGACAACAGGTAGGAGGCGTGGTACTCGCTAGCGTTCACCACCTTTGATGATATTTACCTCTAATTAAGTTTCTTCCCCAGAGAGAGAGCTGGGAGGGAGTGAAAGGAGATAAAAACCTCTCGGAGCAGAGTGCTGTGCAGCAATCAATCCTCTCTCCCCTTCCCTCTAGAGCTGAGACGGGGAGGATGGATGGAAAGCAGGCCTCTCATCTGGGCAAACTTGAGAGAAGTAATAAAAGACCGATAGCTCAACCTCTTCCAGAGGAGACAGAGGAGAAATGCCTCCATCCTTTTGTGGTTGTTGGCCTGCAGTGTTTTTAGTGAGGCTGTTGGAGCAATTTATTTTCAATTTTATAGAGGCTTCCTCTACAATAAAGATGGATTTAATGACAGAAAATAAATCCTATTTTTCTGAAAAGTATTTGGCCTTTATAGGTCAATTATAAGGCTGGTGAGCACGCTGCAGGGTTCATGTTGAAACCAATGTGTTTCAGTTAGGATCGCACTTTAGGTTACAGAACACAGAGGATGGAGCAGATTATAGGACCAGAAGAAAAAGAGAAATCATAGCTTTTCTGAGCTGTTCAAGTTTATTCTGGATGACTGAATTGCAACTCTTCTTTCATTTAAAGGGCCACAGGCTATCATTTCGTGATGCGTTGATTGTTTCAGTGCAACACATCCCCAGTAGCATCACAGAAAGTTTAAAGTTTCTTCATAACATTTTTTCTCTTCTCTTCATTCACTCTCTCCAGGTGTGTAAAGTATTGAACACCACCAGCATGAGCTGCTTTGCTCCTTCTTTGATGGCAGAGTACCATCCAGGTTTGGACACCGTGAAGCATGCGGACGAGTTTGGATTCATCTTCAACAACGTCCAAGCGCTGCTGGTCTACAACAACACTAACCTACTCTACTACCCCAACCCCTACTTTGAACCGCTCAGCACCACAGGCATCCTTGAGCAAAAACCAGGCTCACCCATCATTCTCAAGGTAAAGGAAATGCAGGATGGATTCACTTAATTTGCGGATTAAAGCCCCAATATAGACCTATCATAATATTTATCATTCGTATTCTGCTGCTAAGTGGTCATTTCCATATACTCATACGTTTTTCTCTAGTTCATTTTTATATACAAGTCCTATTATCTGGATGCTTCCATGTGTAAAAAATCAAAATCGGTATGGCATTCGCTTTCATAGATGTTTTGAAGCTTTGTTGAACTTCCTTTGTAGTGAACCCCTCTGGAGATTGTGTTCACCCTTTTGTTGCATCTCCCTGTTTGCCTGCATTTGTAATTGGTACAATCTCTGCTCCATTCTTGGCCAGGTCACTGTTGGAAAATACATTTTTCCAACTCAATTAAAAATAAAAGATATGATGAAATAATATCCTTGGGAAAGATTTTAATTCCTTTTTCACTCAGTCATTATTATGTTTGTATAGTAATTACAGTTAGTTGTATGTTTTGGGGTTTTTTACTGGTATTTTTTTACCTGATAGATGGAGAGCAAGGAATTTGTCAAAATATATATTTCAATCCTTTTTCCTGATTACCAGCTGCTCCCACTGTAAAATATATCAGCCTGTCTGATCTTGGTATGGAATCCTATTGAGTGGCAGCTGTGCCCAAACCTAGGGATTTAATTTGTACTGTATTCAGGTGACATATCAGTGTGGTGCATTAAAAATAATGTTTGATTTTTGTTTATGTGTGTGTGTGTCTGAGTTTATCTTTAAATTTTACACCCCTCTGTTCATTGCTCTATGCCCACAGGGCAGAAACCTGGTTCCTCCAGCATCAGGAGGGGTGAAGCTTAACTACACAGTACTAATAGGAGAGACTCCCTGTTCTGTCACTGTGTCTGAGAGCCAGCTGCTGTGCGAGCCTCCCAACCTCACTGGGCAATACAAAGTCATGGTCAGTACTGGTCTGTTCTGGTGTTTTGTTATGGACCTAACTTTCTTTCCAACTTACTTTCAATCTATCCCTGTATTTGCAATTTCTTCTTTATAATAGTCAACCTCTAAGCTCTATTATTTGTGTTCTCATCATTGTTAATTCAGCTGAAGAAAAGGGGTCGAAGCGAGAGCAGCATGGTTGTGCTCTACATGTCAGAAGGTTCTGCCACAATCCACCGCAATTATTCTTATTTACCCACTTGCTTATTGAATGCAATGTTCGTACTATTTCCCTCTCAACGTGATAATGGTCAAGTATTTGCAGGCAGTTTTAGCAGACAATATTTGAAAAGGTTTTGGTCTAATTTTCAATACTTGGTTGGCTTAATCATTTCTGTAAAACAACAATCATGTAACATACAGCTCAACTGCATGTTTTCAATCGCTCTTTTAGTTTTAACAGTCTCATTGTGACTCTTGCCTTTCTTGACAGGTTCAAGTAGGTGGCCTTCACGTATCTCCAGGTGCCGTGCACATCATGTCTGACAGCCTGCTGACCCTTCCGGCCATTGTTAGCATCGCTGCAGGTGGCGGTCTTCTCCTTATCATCGTCATCCTCGTCCTGATCGCCTACAAGCGAAAATCGCGTGAAAATGATCTGACCCTTAAGCGCTTGCAGATGCAAATGGACAACCTGGAGTCACGAGTTGCCCTAGAGTGCAAAGAAGGTTAGTGTTAGTGTAGAATAGTAGATACAGACTTAAATGTTTGTTAAGTGCTTTGCTTAACCAATAGGCTTCTTTATCACTCAAAACAAATAAAAGGCATAAATATGTGTATGTGTTACTCAAATCAATCAGAGCTGTCTGCATGTTTTAAGTAATTATCAACATTACGTCAAATCTGGATCATCCTTGTTTTTTATCACAAAAGATTAACTTATTTAGCCCTCTATGTGACCTTTTTCATCATGGAGTAGTTTGCATGCTGGAAGCGATTTTTCATACAGCTAACATGAACTCTAAACATACAGGAACCGAACACACATTAGATATGAGACGCACAAACGTTCAAACTGTATTTTAAATTCTGCTGTAATTCTACAGTCATGTCTTCATAGCAGGTGTTTGTGTTCACGCTTTGTATGTCTATATATATTTTTGTAACCATGATATGTTAAAACAAAAGTGAGCACTTATTTTAGATGTGAGCGTCACATCATTCCCACATCGCTACATTGAAATAAACACCGTTGATTACTCCTACTGTTATCATTGGGGTTATTTTAGCTAGTCTGTGGCAAAAGTGAGGTTTAGGTCTGACAGTGTTGAGGCGATTTCATCAGCCAGAGGGGACCTTATTACTTATCCCCTCCAGCTACCCCTGATCAGCTGCCCCAATGTTATTATGTAGTAATAGAACACAATGGTCCAATGACAGATACAGACAGACGGGCACATAGAGTAGGCAAACAGAGGGAATCATACACAGGTAGCCTTAGGACAGAAGAAGATTAATGTTTTAACCATTAGCATTGGCCTGGCGAGTACTTCCCCGCGGGGTGGATTTAGATAGCTACCAGAGTTCCTCCTTATGAGTGTATATATACACTGTGAGTCCATGTGTTGGTGTGTAAACCAATGTGTCACAGGGGACTTTGGTACCAGGAGGTGAGGGCTAAGACTGGTTAGAGATGGTGGGGTTTTGAGGAGGGTTTTAGGAGACGACTGCTGCTCCTGTGATAGGCTGCAGGCAGGGAGCCTCCCCAAGGGCGGCAAAGCAAGGCAACAGAGCCGTGGGCTTGAACCAGAGTCAGTCAGGATGGAGCCAATTAACTAGTGCTCACCTGCAGCTTCACACTGAGATGCCACACTCTTTGGGGCCTTTGCTTCAGCCAATTTACTGGGTGGTAGATAAAAATGAGTAAGAAAAGGAGGTTTGTGTGTATATGTGTGTGAAAAGTGAATGTAAAAGAGGGAGGGAGGGAGAGAGATCTATTTTTTTAGAACAGAGATGTAAAATATTGAGTTCCTCTGACATGAAGACTATCTTGAGCGTTCTGTCATCTTCATCATAGCAGCAGTAAGCCCCATGAAGATAAGAAGGATTCACATATATGGTCCTTGGGGATTAAATAACAGTTTTATTTTCAGGATGCCTTTCACAAGCGCTCCCTTCAAATTGTCTCGTTTCTCTGCCTTCCTTCTCTTCTAGCCTTTGCCGAGTTACAGACAGACATCAATGAGCTCACCAGCGACCTCGACAGAGCTGGTATCCCCTATCTGGATTACAGAACCTATGCCATGAGGGTCCTCTTCCCCGGCATAGAGGATCATCCTGTCCTCAGAGAACTGGAGGTAACTATGACCAGAGTGCAAGAGAGAGATACATTTTTAAAAAAGAGAGGAAGGACGAGGGAACTTCAGTCTGAGCTGAAATAAATACATAAATATACAAAGTGGACAAAAGAGAGAGAGCCAAACGGCATGTCTGCCCTGACCACTTCTCCCATAGGCTAACCGTAAGTGGGAAATTGCTGAAGGGGGGAAAGGATACCAGTGTGCCATCTATCCTTTCTACACTCTGATCTCACACGCACACACACAGTCAGTCAGGCTGGGCAGCATACACATACACATATATATACACCTCACATGCAAGCTCCCTCATGGAAAACAGGGTCTCAGCACATGGCTATTTCATCCACCAGTGGCTGCAGTATGAGGGGTAATGAAGTGAGTAATTCCCAATCCTCAAGCAGAACTTTGAGTTCTTCCAATGGGGGGGAAAAACTGGCTGGTTAACACTTTTTCCTCCTCTTCGAGGGGCCAGAGTAGTGCTAGGAAATGACTTTATTTTATGTTGTTGAGACTGGTGTCCAGAGGATGAAACTATCAGGGATAAGAAGATTAATCGTAGTAGAGATTAAAGTCAGCAGTGTGAGTCAGCCTAACTAGCCAGGTGTAGTTAGTTAAGTGGATAGTTGCTCAGGTAAGGCTAGCCGTGTTTGCAAGAGATCAAAGGAAATGTAATGTCACATCTTAGAGCAGTGGCATTTGGTGAGTCACATAAATTTGGCATTGCCTGCCAGAGGACCCATATTTTTATGCAAACTTCAGAAAAACAGTCATGGGTGCTCAAACAAGTACAAAGCGAATATTACTTAGATTGTTTTACCCTGAAAGCTTGTTTAACATTTAATTTGAAAGTGAAGTGACAGCTAACTCGGTGTACAATGCTTTTTTTTTTAATGGGACCCGGTCAATAATTGATTAAGATCTTCTCAGTTACTCATCATGAGCCAGAGCTTCTTTCTGCCTGAGGTGAAACATGAGTGAAGATTTTGGTGCCTTTGGAAAAAATCTTTATTTTTTGTGAGGCAAGGTCACAAAGAAAGTTAAAGAGCAACAAACCTTTTCAACCAATATTTCAGCAATGTATCATTAAAGGTGTTACTAAACAAATTCCTGCTTGATACTCATTAGCCTTAACTCATGCACTGTTGTTGCCTCTTTTTTTCGGTGCAGGTGTCAGGTAATGGCCAGCAGAACGTGGAGAAGGCCCTGAAGCTGTTTGGCCAGCTCATCAACAACAAAGTGTTCCTGCTCACCTTCATCCGAACACTGGAAATGCAGCGCTCTTTCTCCATGAGGGACCGCGGCAATGTGGCCTCACTTATCATGACTGCCCTTCAAGGACGACTGGAGTATGCCACCGATGTCCTTAAACACCTGCTGTCAGACCTGATTGACCGCAACCTGGAGAGCAAGAACCATCCCAAACTGCTGCTGCGCAGGTAACACGGCAATAATGTTCCTTCATGATATAAAGACTTGAATCGTGCCCAACTGAACTTAAACCTTACTTGTTTGTTCCATCTTATTATAAAGCTTCAAATAGTTAAACGAAGAAATGAATGAACACTAAATAAGATAAACAAAGGCCTCTCTATTGTGCACAATTGTAATGAGAATGCCTTAATCCTCAGTAATGCTGTTTGTTTGGCATAGCTTTATAATATTGAGCCAGAAAGGATAAAAACACACAGCATTACTGTTTATCCCCTCATATGCGATGCTGTTCTTTGATAGCTACGTAGATAACAAAAACAGAACGTTCATTAGCAAAAGAAGAGGTGCAGCATCATATAACGTTTTTAGACAGATGGATAGGTTTTGATTTAGAGTCATATGTTCTATAACCTTTTTCTCATGTTTCTTGTGCATTCCTTTTTCCCCATGTTTCCATGTAGACACTTCACAGAATCACACTTGTAATTAGTGTTATGGAACTTGTACATCTGCAGCACAATGAGATAAACAACATGCAATATTTGCACGAGGAGCAACATCTGAGTTCTCTGCATAATTCCACATTCCCTCTAGCTTCCCTCTTTCCCACCGCTCTCTCTAAATACCAGTGTCACTCTAACTTATCCTCCGAGCTCAGGCTCTTTATAAAACATTTAAGTGGTTCAGCTGAACTTTTTTCCCTGTGTATCAAATGTACATTGTTTCTCTGGGAAGTTAGAATGACGTGTTAAAACTTTAAACACCTACTAAGTTCCTGCTCAGGTTTCCGCAGCTGCTTTTGGCAAACAAAGTAGCTTAAAAAATATGTGCAAAGTCCATCACAGTCCTTCGTAAAGCCTGGCTGCTCTGTGCATGATTTTGACTATGTTTACTTTACTTAATAAGATGAGACCGTGAGACCAGGCAGCTGCTTTGTTTCCAAACATCCTTTTCTGCTGTTAATGCTCCTTATTTCAGATACATTTAAGAAATGTTTCTATTTTTTTTTTTTTTTTTAAAGTCACGTTAATAGTCGAGCTTAAATTACTGCCAGATAGAAAAAACCCTGCATATTGACAGAGGAATTGACTAAAGCATCACAGCATCAAATGGACCTGGATTAAGCTGTTATTTTACATGACAATAGGGCTCCATGTCACCTCTAAGTTTTCATTATCCGTTTCATTATGTTCTTATTAGGAACACAGTGGTACATAATCCTCGGGTCCCGCCTTTGTAGCCTGGAGGGCTAAATGTCCTATAGTTTTTACATTTCAGTCCCCATTTTTATGAAAAATTTAAGGGATTAGTGATTTGACATGGCTCTTTGCTGTTGTTGTCTTCCTCGTTGCCTATTTGGAGAAAAGCCGACATGAAGCCAGCCAGCTGACTCACACACACGTTCAAACACGCTCGCACATCTGTGATGATAGTCAAATTGAAGATTTCTCTAAGCAGTAATTGTGTTTGTGCAGGCCGTAGAGTGAGGCTGCTGGGCTGTGCTTTGTTGCCATTTTCCCGTTCAGCTGTTTTTTCTGTCACATCTCCTCAGTTTGTTTTTTATTACATATAACAAGGTAGTGAAACACCTGCTATTATTCCAGCTAAGATGCCCTTTGTTTTGTTGCTTTAATAAAATAGCTGTATTTGGACAGATGCTTGTGCTTTTGTACCATGTATCTTTTGGGGTACAGTGCGTATTTCTGTAGATATCATCCTTGTTAGAACACACAGATATAAATCTGTGCTGACTATATTGGATTCCAGTGATATGAATTTCTAATGCATAATTAGTGAGCTTACACTTGTGCAAAATTCGCACAACTACAATAGTTCAGCAACATACATCAAGGACATCCAAGGCAACCAAATCACTTTATTCATTCAGTTCAATTCAAACCAAGTTTTCAAACTAGCAGGCTCTACAGGAGAAAACAATAAAGACAAGAGCTACAAATACTGAGAACTGGTTTCATCTGTGATGGGTTTAAGCGGCTCATCACGATCCCACAATTTAATGGTAACCAGAGTTTAATATGCAATGACCTCAAATTGTTGTTTATTAAAGATTGCAGTTGCTCGTATACGCACATCTCTGACATCAAAAGTGTATGTGTGTTTATGTGCGCATGTACAGGTATTTTAATAAAAGACGTCTGTGAAAATTCTACAGGGAACATTTAAAGCTTTACAGTGAGATGTGTTCAGAGTATGAACGCTATATACTGTAGTGTATATTTATACTACAAAACACAGCAGGTACAGTATATATGCACAGCTTTGTCATCGAACTGAGCTGTTATCTGTGCAGTAAGTTTGTGTGGGAAGCTGGAGCACCATGCTGTTACTAGCTTTTGCACAGAAAAAAGGGGAGGAGGGGTGTCGGGTGTGGAATTCTAATTAAACAACTAATAAGCCTATTAATTGAGCAGATTATACCGAGGTTTGCAAGTCTTTCCACAGATAAATTTCCAAGTTAAGTTTGCAGCACGTTGAAGATGCTGATTGTAAAAGCAGGCTCTGATTAGCATTGACACCGCACCTCCTCTTACTTCTCACCACCTCTGCCTCCATTACAGCTAATTTCTCTAGTCCTCTCAAATATTCTGTCTCTCACACGGGGAGATTATCTCCAGATAGCATGTTTTCTATATTTGAGTATTTAATTGCTGATGCACTATCTACACTACATTGGGAATGATAATGTTAATTAATTAATATCCTTGTGCAGTTTCAAGGTATGCAGCTTTCTTGCTAAGTGTGCAGGTTTAAAGGTGGGTTAAATAGAACAGCATGTTAAAGAAACAGCCCTCTTCCTTAAAACGCGTAAGGTGTCTGCACAGATCTGATGGTGCATTTACTAACTGTAGACGTGAGGATATATGGACTAATATGTATATAACTTTAATAAATATGCAGCTAGCAATTTAAAAAAATATTTCTGATCTTTGACACTGAACGGGTTAAAGAATTATGTCACAGACTTAAAATGAATCCGTGTGACATGCCTCTTGGCAGAGTAAGCATAAAAAGTAAACCATTGCCATCTGCAGTATTTGAGGAAGTAGTTAACCTCATTGTAGCTGAAAGGAATACAACACAGCTCTTGTCACTGAGAAAGTTTGATGGTAGGTTGAATGTCTCTGAAAGCCAGGGGGGAATTTGGAAATCTTATACACCAGTTGCAATGCGACATATACGCACTTTTTACTCTTAAGCTCAGCAGAGTGCCAGGCCCCATTTTACCATCAATCATATCAGACTAGTGACAACAAATTATAGCACATTGTACATTATCTTGCATTTATGCAGCATATATCATCCCCAGTTAATTAAGTTCCTGGAATCATATTTGAAGGGTGCACTCGTGCTCTTTTGAGGGTTGTTTTTCAGAGAAACTCCTGTCTGTTTGGTATGTAAAGATTTCAAATACCTTCTGTTGTCTTTGCCTTGATAAGGAATGATTTTGGCTCACAGTCACTTTCATTCTCCTAAAAGCTTTTTGAAAGTGATATCTAAGCTTTGTGTTTGATTTTAACACTCTTCAGTGCGCTAAGTGGAGTTGATGAAGCACCCCATATTGTTTGGATTGTATTTACCACCATTAGTGCTCTTGTGTTCACGTTCTCTCTGTGTCCTATCATTCCAGTTCTCCCATTCTCTATATGTACCTTGTCCTCTGGCCATCTTTCTGCCCCTCCAGTTTCTCAGACTTTTACAGATTAAATGACCCCTATCAAAACATGCTTTTTTATGCATTAAAGTCTCTTCTCCATTGTCTCCATCTATAAGTTTTCTCAAAGCCTCTTGATTTACCCAGTTTCACTTTCTCTTCTTTATAATGCTCTTTTAATGGAATCACTGAACATTGCTTCTATCACCTTGAGACTTTTCAATCTTGTATTATTTTTCTCCTACGCGTTTTTGTAATGAGATTTCCGCCCATGCAGAGCAATGGAGTACAGCATTATTAAGAGAGTGAGTATTGTGTTTGGCATTAGTTTCACTGAAAGACATTCAACTGGCTGCTAAAATAGCCCCCCCAGTCCACCCTAGCTGCCATTAGGAGACCAGAGATGGGGCCTGTCTTAAGCACTATGTGGGATAATGAAATCCTGATGTTCATTAATGAAACTCAATTAATAGAAAGAAGGAAGTGGAGGCAGATGAGAAGGAGGACAAGAAGAGAAGGAGAAGGAGGAGAACAAAGGGCTCCCCCCCGCCCGACATCCAAGTGAAGAGATATTAAAGGGGAGTCAGCACAGCCCCCTCACAAAGGCTTTATTTGACTTCCTTCTTCGAGACTTGCTGAGCTTATTAAAATACTTAATAGGTTCCATTAACTTCTAACACACTCAAGTCTCATACAGGCAGGGAGGGGCACATGGTAAGCATGAGGTGGGGGGTATAAAGAGGGGTGAATTCCTGTAGAGGAAGGAGGGCAATTACTCAGGGATTTGGAGTATTGTCCAAAAAACTCCACAATACCTTCAAGTTTATTCAGCATGAAAACACAGCCTCAGGCTCTTATGGATCCTTATTATGTTTTCAAATTACTTTTTTGAGACCTTGGAGAAATACTTTGTGTCTTTCTCTATGTATGTATTCTCTCTGTTGTGTAGATATAGTGCTGTGCAAAAGTCTTGAGCCACCCCTTATTTCTTGGTATTTTGCTTCCAAAGAGCCAGATTTTTCTTATAGTTTTAAACGGTCTTAAGCAACAGTTCCTCAGGCTTTCTGCAAGTCTTTCAAAGTTCTCCATTTTCAAAGGAATGTGTTTATGTCCAATGCATGTCCTTTGGAATGTCCTCAAAAAGCCTAGAGAACTACTTAAAGAAATTATGAGAAAGGTTGCGTAAAAATTCAGGCTGTGCTGAAGAATAAAAGTGGTCATAACACTTTCAAGCTTGGTAGAGTTGTACAATGTCTATTTTTGCCTTATATATTTTATTTCTATTTATATCTACATATTTCAGTAAATCGGTGGACCTATTTTCCATAAATAAAATAAGTGGTGCAAGACTTTTGCACAGTACTGTACGTATATGGAATGACAAAGAGGACAGAACAATAGAGCTTGTATGTTTTCCCCCAAAGAGAATGCATTGTCACACACACACAGACATACATGCACAGAAGCGTGCAATCTTTCAGCTCCTCAGCATTGTTTACTCCCTCATCCTGTACCTGAAACTGGGTGAACTAATGTACACGCTCCCCCCGTTGGCACATCGCACTTCAAATAAGCTGTCACACAAGTCTCCATCCTCTCAACAAGCTGCCAATAGACTGGCCAGCACTCTCGTTGGCAGGGGAATAGCCTCCAGGCGTGGAAGACAACATCACAATTCGACCGCACATCATTCAAAACAAAATATAACCTCTGCTCCTCTGTCCTGGAGCTGAAGGAAAGTTTTGTATTTGCAAGTAAAAAATAGACCAATACCTCATTCAATCTCAATTTAATGAGAGAGAAAGAATGACTGACGCTTTATCTCGTCTCACTGACTAAATTGTTGGCTCTTGTAACCTCGCTGGTTCACACAATCCTGCTGGGACTTCTGCGTTGGTCCCAGACTCTTGCTCATAGCCTTCAAACACGACTTAACGCAATTATCTCCACAATAGTCATAATCTCCCTTCAGGTCCATTCAGAGCCTGAATAGGTATAATCATGCCTAGCACTATTGAGGAGACGGAAGCCGTCTAACTTGTCTTTAATACCTGGCTGCTCCGATTCCAGCTAATCCCCAGTTCAGCACAGTATGCTATAAAGACCTTCCATCATATCCACCAGAGTAATCACAGTAATTTCCTGCTACATTAAGAGGGTCATTTTTTCCACTGCACTGTCATTTAAATTGGCAATGCTCATGGACAGACTGACTGGCAGTGATCATTCACGGCCAGGTGACAATCGCAGGCTTCAAACAGCAGTGCAGTCCTATGGGGCGCTTTACCATGGCATGTTAACTTGTGATTAGTGTTTGTAGTAGCTATGTTAGAGCTAGCAGGAGGAATGACACTGACAATAATACAGGCCAAAGCTAGCTGTTAAAAAAAGTTTGTGTTCCAAAACAGCTTGGTATTGGTGTGTTCCAGGTAGCATTTTTAAATCTCTTTGCAGGAAGCCTTGTGCAGTCGTCAAATAACAACAGAGTGAGGTAGAAGCGCTTTTACTAGATGAGGTGGAAGCTACTTGTTGTTATTCATCTCAGGTGCTTGTCCACCCAGAACTAACCCTTTCATCTATGCTTCATGCTCGTTAACCATTCCCACCTGGCTGGATTCTGTTTTTTATTTAAGTGCAGCTTCTGCTTCTCTAGTGTCCCATGATGGTGCTAATGAGGCAGTGGGAGGATGTTTGTCTGGCATTCAGAGAAAGATATGAGTCGAAATCATAAAGGAGTCATACACTGTCCTCTCATGTTCTCTGTGATAGAAATAGTCGAGGGGTCATTGCACACTTGTGTTTTTTCATGCCCAATCAAGCCCGGCAGTGCGCTGTACCCCCTGTGTGATTGACTGGGAAGGGAGAGGAGGTACGGAGGAGGAAGAAGAGAGGAAATGAGAGGAGAGGAGATCGTTTTGGCTGTGATCAGGCGTTACCTGGCAGTGACAGCACTCGTCTCTCTCAACAGCTGAGGCTTGTCACAGCTGCTGATGTCCCACTGTGTTGAACCACACGTGAATAATCAAGCTCGCACACATTGGCTCACACTCATGCATACTCAATCACGCACACATACACACAGGCCATACACGTACATGCACAAATGCCCTGATCTGCTCTGTTCACTCACTGTGACCACAGACTGACATCCATGATGTCTGTCTGTGGTCAGTGATGTCAAGATACCCTCCCTGTAGTTTATAACCTTATAACCTCCTGAAATATTGAACTCTTTCATACTAAATGTTTTGAAATAAGATTTTAAAAAGTAACATTTAGACTTTTTTAATGCATTTTCAGGACAGAATCGGTTGCAGAGAAGATGCTGACAAACTGGTTCGCTTTCCTCCTTCACAAGTTTCTCAAGGTTAGTCCAATACAGTGATAGTTTGTTTTGTTTATTTTGATATCTTGAAAAATCTGATGTTACATGCTGTTCTCATGTGCGAATCTGTGGATTTGTTTGTGTGTGTGCAGGAGTGTGCTGGGGAGCCTCTGTTCATGCTGTATTGCGCCATCAAGCAGCAGATGGAAAAGGGGCCCATCGACGCTATCACTGGAGAGGCCCGTTACTCCCTAAGTGAAGACAAGCTCATCCGCCAACAGATCGAGTACAAAACCCTGGTAAGTCACACTTCACCAGCCTCACAGGAACTGTGCACACTGGCTCAAAGGCATACTGAAGCACAGGTTGTGCTTGACTAAGAAACGTCTAAGTAAGATTGTGGCTAAAATGCTGCTCACAAGATGCACAGACACACAGACTCCAATATACCAAACAATAAATCAGATTTTAAGATGTCATAGCCATGTTTGCTATGTTGGAGTTCTTCATTCTAGTGCAGGAAGAAAATTAACTAATTATCCCACTACCTCCAGTGTTGGCCCAACATCAGAGTGGGTGGCTGTGGAGACTGGAACACACCAAACATAGCCCTCTATATACACAGACAAATGCACAGAGAAAAAAAGCACTCACAAAGTCAGCATGTGACATGACAATGCTCTGATTGCTCTGACTGGGAATTTGGCTCATTACGTGCTAACACCCCGGCAGAGCTGGAAATTGGTGTCCCGCCGAAGGTGTGAAATTAGATTTCTGGATGCCAGCAAGAGCGGAAATGGTTTTTCAAAGCTCCTGCCATGCTCCGAGGAGACTCTAATGAGGGCAAAGCTTCAAGCTGGACCAAAGTCCAGCCAGTAACAGGACACCTCAAGCTTTTTGCTCTGCTCTCACGTTTTCCCTTTCTTTGATATTTCGTCCCCTCACCCACTCTTCTCTTTTCCCTTATTTGCACTCCAGATCCTAAACTGTGTGAACCCAGACAATGAAAACAGTCCAGAGATTCCAGTAAAGGTGCTGAACTGTGACACCATCACCCAAGTGAAGGAGAAGATACTGGATGCTGTTTACAAGAACATGCCCTATTCTCAGCGGCCACGTGCTGTCGACATGGACCTCGGTAGGGCGCAAACACACACACCCGAGCACAAATAAATACACAAACACACACAACACTCACAGATGCAGCTGGCAGGTGTAAAGTCCTTCACACCCACAGATTAATGTATCAGTCAGAGAAAATCTAGCCATGTGTACAGATTATTGGTGCATTAGTGTGATAAAAGCTGTGTTCTAGCAGCCCAGCCAGGTAACCAGCTTCAGTGTACTGCTGCCAGGCTTTCTATCAAACTGACTGACAGTATGCGGCGCATCCCTCCGTCTGGCAGCTTTTACTGTTTGGTAGCGCCAATAAGACAAAGTAGATCGAGATAGAGAAGTGGGCTCGTCTTTGTGTGTGCGTGTTTGTGTTTATGATGTGGGTGTGTGAGTGGCCAACACAAGTAAGAGCTGGCAGCATGGCAAACCAGCGGCACTGCCATTTCCATCCCTTGCCTTCTCTCTGTCTCTCGTTTTCTATTCATATGCATGAAGAGGAGAAAAAAACACAGCTTGCTGCATACCATCCATCACTCCACAGTATCGCTCTCAGTGCATCTATTGCCTCCCTCTCAAAAATAATTGCATCTCTATAAGAGCGTCTTTTGTTCTTCAGCTTTATCTGGAGATTTGACTGTAGGTTAGAGGGTTTGAGGAGTATGTTATGTCAAACAGGAATATCATATGGTCATCTGGCGGATGCACAAAGTCATAGAACTTAGTGAATGAGAAGCAATTTGATGATTGCTACCAGTATGAGGCCCACAGTGGCTATCCACTTTCCACTTTTAGCATACTTATCATTTCATTACCCCACAATGACCTGTCAGAGCTGCTGCCCTCCCACAGTGCTTATAATCTCTACCTGTTACCCCTACCTCCTATTTTTTTCCTTTGAAAGGAGGTGATTTTCTCATTGCTCATTTTTTTTCATCCTGTCTTGTCTGCTCTCCTCTTCTTCTTTTTTTTCTGACCCCGATGGGCCAACTGCTGCGTAAGTGACACAAGTACCAATTAAAGTGTGCAGCCTGCCTGAATATACATCTTGCAATTGTTCGTGTGTAATGTTTAATTAAGATGCGTGTCAATCCAAGTCTGTGAGAGGAGCGCACATGCCGAGAGCCGTACAAGAATACAGGCTACTTATATCTGCTCTTTTGTGTGTGAGTGTGTGTGTGGTTGTAGAGTGCTTTTATTCTAAGCAGGTTACATTTCACCAACTGGAAGGTGAGAGTTTGGTTTAGCGTCATAGGAATTCACAGTTGCCCTGCACGGGAGCCATCTCTGGAAACACTGCATAAACCAATATTATGTAACTTCACAGCATCCTCCACATATGGTTTTAAATTATGGCTCACTATGATGTATAATTTGCACTATGCGGTTGTTCATAATTCAGTATTTGTGTTTTTGCGCTTTCAGAATGGCGCCAGGGACGAATGGCTCGTGTGGTGTTGCAAGATGAAGACATCACAACTAAGATTGAAAATGACTGGAAGAGACTCAACACTCTCATGCACTACCAGGTAAACACACACAAATGCTTTAGAGCAACATTCCTCCTAATCACTCTCAAACTTTGCTTTTTACATCTTAAAACACCCCCGTCTCATTTTAGTTCCTGATGTGGATTTTACCATTCAAATTGTGCCGCACACTTTGGCAAACTTTGATGTTTCCTGCTCTTGACTTTTAGGCAGCCAATTTTCCACCCCTCATTTGCATGCCCATGCCTGGTGTAATCCAAGTGACTCCGAATAGAGGACAATTACTGTACAGGTGGCAGGAGAGATGAACTCTCAGCATCTCAGTTGACACTTCTCCCCCCTCCCTGGAGAGATGAAGCTGCTCCAGTGGGGAGGAAAAGCAGCTCTCCTTCTTTCATTTTCCCTCTCTTTCTTTCCCCTCTCTCTGTCGTTCTCTGACTTCTATGCTGGCAACAATTAGTCCCGCTGTGACTGCCTGCTTCTGTCTCTTCAGTTCTGGAACCTCCTTTCACACCCCACAATTTGAGAGCCCATGGGCGAACCTGTTGCCCTCTGTTTAACAAAGAGAAACGGAGGCCGCTAAAGACGTGGCTGTCTGATAAGGAGAGTTCTGCATTTTTTTTTTCTGGGAAATTTAAGGCTTTTCACATCGTAAACAAAGAGGGAGGGGGGGGGGAACAAGACGGGGTTAGTGGAAGCCACAGATAAGATAATAAAAGAAGAACAAAAGGAATAAAGAAATAAACAGGCAATTCAGAACTATCTCCGCAGGTCATGAATCTTGCATCCTAAGTCAGCTCTCATTAGCCAGTCAAGGGGGACAGTCTGTTTAAAGGCTGCATGGAGTTTGATTCTGGGTTACCTGCTTAAGAGCTGGGATGCAGCTTTGGCTGGATTTGAAAATTGGGACCATGGGGAAAGGAGACACATGTGCATCTAGAAGCAGAAAATGGCTACGAGGTGGTGAAGCTCAAGCCCTCGCAGTAGGGGGTCAATCTGAACTCTTGCCCCAGAAGAACAAGCAGAATAATTTAACAGATGTAGGAGTCATTAGAAGATGGGACACATCACAGTGTCCTTCACACAGGACTTGGCACCATGCAGCTTCTTTCCCCTTTGTCTTTTTTTGCTTGTCGCCCTCCATTTTGTTCTCACCTTTATCTCCCCTTTGCCACGTTTTATTTATGTATTTATTTACTTACATATTTGCTTTGTGTACATTTTGCCCTTAGCCGTTTCCCTTTTCTATTTTTTCTAGTTCGCTAACAAGCAATAAGATCTCCTCTTCCCTTGACTTTTTTCCCCACTCACTTTTGTTCTGCCTTCCTCTCAAGCTCTGCCTACCTCTTGGTCACTGCAGTGCTTTCATCCTTGATAAAGCAGTTCAGTATGTTTGCTTCCACACCAAAAATGTGCCTGTGTTGTGGTTGTTGTTGTTTTTCAAGTTCTTTCTGTCACAGTTTGGTTGCCATCGTTAGCCAAGGGATGCAACAGGACACACAGCGACATGTGTGTGGCCATTTAACTTATTTACTCGCTCAATAGCAGTTCTGACTGCTATTGATTATGGATGTAAGAACGTGCCTAGAATGGAAGGCACAGTAGTGTACGCCATGTAGAGTGCAGGGCAACACAGCGTGGAAGGAGAGGAGGAGACGGGGCATTGCAACATTAGGCAGTCAGTGGTGGAAGGGATCAAAGTAGGATGGAACGACTTTGAAACTTCATTGCTGTTTTGATGAGCTGGCAATAGTCCCCTATGTATGAGTTTGTGTGTGTTTGTGTCACACATCATGGCACTGCATTGGCAGCTGTGACAACACATCTGGCTACATATGAAAAGAAGGAAGCTCAGCTCATTAGGCCCCAGACTGACGGGAAATGTTTGAAGAAAAAATGGGAAGAGGTAAGCAGGAAATAGTGAAAGGGGGTCTGAAATATGCAAAGTGAGTCTGAACATCAGCTCAAGTATTTGCTAATTCTCTCATAGTAGAGACACAGGGACTAGACAGAGGCATTAAAATTCATAGGGCTCACAGCAACCCAAGAAACCCCATTGGCTATTTACTCTGCCACATGGGAAATAATGGTTTACACAACCAGAATGTGGAATTGCACCCTCCCTGCTCTCCCCCTCATTTCCCAACTACTCTAAAATTAAAAACATAAATGTACACACTGAAAATGAGTTCAGACTCCTTGTTCATCACCTTTGGATTCATAGGGAGGGAACTCAAACCCCTTCTTCCAACCTTTCCAATATTTCTGTATTTTATTTTATTTTATTTTATTGTACTCTTTCTTGCATGGTTTAAAAAGTATAGACGCACACTGTAACACTGTATATACAACAGTATATATTCTCATTTCACTTGGTTGTACTCATCCAAACTGAAGATGAAGTATTATCCTTTGGATAATAATAATTTGGATAATGTGTTTTTGTTTTTTTGGGTTTGAATTTGTTTTTTGTTTTTTGTTTTTTTGGGGGGGGTGTTGACTGATTGTTGATTTCAGTTTTGCTTTGCTACTTAATCTTCCTCGTTGTCAAAGACAAGCTCTTCTGGCACTTTCTTCTCATTCTCCATTCTCTTCCTCCTCCACCCTCCCTTTTTGTCATTTTAAGACAAAGATGGGGGTGGGGGAGCTACTGGATAGTTAGTAAACAGAATTACAGAGTTACAGAATTACTGAGATCACTTGAAGGCAGCACTGACAATTCCTAAAGTGGGCATTATCGTGAGCTGTAGCCAGAGTTGTTTTTCCCCATGATTCAAATTGCAGACAGGCCAAGCATGTTGTTCCCAGTGCACGGTGCACTCAATTACTTTGATTATGTTTGACAACAAGGTTATTTAGTAGATGATATTATTCCACATCCAATTGTGGGGCAAATGCATAGACTGTTTTTTTCCCTTGAATATAGTGGACGTATTTTCATACTGCTTCTTCCTAAAATTGCAAAATGCTAAAATAAGGGCGGTTTAAAAGTTTTTGTAGCCTGAGTGGTGACCTCTGTGTGTCCTCCTCCTCTGTGGTGAAGGAGTAGGAAGAGGAGAGACTGATAACCACACCAGTAGAGTCCGGTTACCCAGATTGCAGACTTGGGGCATTTAGGCTATTTTCAACAACCCCAGACACAACAGATACTGCTCATTTTTCTGTCTGTTCATTAATCTAATGCTGTGACTGTCAAGTTGGAATATAAAAGTTGGTTAGGAGGAAAACTATTGTCTATTTATAGCCGAAATATTTGTAAGAACTAATATCCCATTATAAAGTAATGGAAATTTGCATTAAAGTTTTTTTCCTGTTGCCATCCAAGAAAGAAATGTTTGCGTATAATAGCCCATTTCATATTTTTTCAGTTCTGACAACAAACATGCACAGATGATGTGTTTCCAAGCTAGTGGGCAGAGTCCGTAGGTGTGATAAGCATCATGATCTGAGGGCATCAGTCCAGACGAGATGGGATACCAAGGGGTAACAGGCTTGGACCAGAACAGTGGGTTTGTGTGGGGAGGGCTGAAGGTGGGAAAAGGGGAAAAAAAACATCTAGGATGACCACTCTCTGCTGTCTGGTCCACTCTGTACTGTCTAATGGAAGGTCTTATCACAGGCAGGGCCCACAGCCCTTATCACACCTGCCCACTATCAGCCCCACACTGGATTATCCCTGAAGGGCGAATCTGCACGCCTTCAATCATTTACTACTATCACAAGGACCCATCTCTGCTCTAGCCTCTATGTCAGCCATAAAAAGCAGAGAGAAAGAGAGAGAAGTGGAGGGAGTGGAAGGAGGGGGTGCAGAGAAGCTATTTCATGCTCCCAGGAGAAAATGTATCACAGGAATAGCGGTGCAAACTTTACGGAAGTCCACGCTGTCAGTATATTAGAGTTGGTCCGTGGATTGTCAGCCAAGAGGTGGCTATAAAACGGAGAGGCCATAGAAATTAAGCTTAGGAAAGCAAAATGCACAAGAGGTGAAAAGGGAGAGAGACAGTTGAAGATGCTAGTCGCGAGTGGGGGTTAGGAAGCAGATTTTTCATTTCCCTTCAATAGGCCTTGGTGCCTGAGCTGCTTCTTTAAGAGGATTCTTCCAGACTTTATCCCCATTTTCGAGTGTCTGTTCAGTAGAGACCAGATGGCAACTCCAGCTAACAGCAGAGCTGAGATTAGTTTATGAAAGTGGAAATAACGGGTGAAGACATGAATGAGAGAAGGTGGCTTTCCAGAACGGGGAAAAGCACCATAAATGCCCAACCCAGTAACCAGTGGTTCATTTCCCAACGAGAGCCCAAAAGGGTCCATTCTTGCTAAAGAAAATGAAAAGCCTAATTTCCTGTTTTTCTATAGATTCTTTGAGGTATTCCTTTTGGAGCCTGGCATTTTCCTATTGTTTATTTCTCCACTAGAGGCTCATCAGTTTTTCTTCACTGGGTTTGAAGCAGAAATCCCTCCTTGGGGTGAGCTGTAAATGCCAGCCAACAAGCTGTTTGTTGTTTTGGTTTTCAGAAAAGAACCACCGGTTTTGTTTGCTGTGTTTTGCATTTTCCAGACTAAATTCCTTTGCTGTAGCTGCACTAGTAGCACATAACTGTAACTAAACTGTCATTTTTTGACCCATTAATTATAATACTAGATTGATGAAAGATCTCTAAAAAGAGTTTTGAGGATGTCCTTTCAAATGTAAGTTATGTCAGGTTTTCTCAGGCTACCACACCACAGGGGTGGGGTGGTGGGGATAAACCCCAGTGTCTGTGTCTTATTCATGACACAACATCTTTTACACAGCCTTTTTTCTTCGTCTTTCTCTTTGACTCTGACTCGCTGCTTCTCTATTGCTATTATTATACCTGCGTACCCCATTTTTTTTCTCCAGTGGTGTCAAGTGTACACAAGATGAGACATTCAGCATTCTAGTCTCTGTCTCTCTCCATCTGACACTCTCTTTTTCCATTTTCCTCTCTCTTTCTCTCAGCATCTTATCCCAGTTCCAAAGCTTACATCATGTTTCTAAGGTTTGTGAAGGGTGATGACAATGACAGTCATGTTGAGTACAGCCATCATGCAGTCACAGCACTCTGCTCTTCCGAAAAAAGCCACAGGGCTGTGGTAGAGAACAGCAGGGAGTGCAGATATGACAGGGAAGGATGTACGGGTTTGAGATGTGTTTTGCTCATGGGACTGTTCACTCAGTCCCCTACGTTCCCATTTGTAGTCTTCTCTTTGGTATGAAACATTTGTGAGAACATGTGATACATAAATAAATTACACACACGCGGTATGTGATGGTGGCCCACAAAACTCTCTGGAGAATGGGTTTTAAACAAGGAATAGTGGGACTTTATTTTAGGAATAGAGAGATATTTAACACATGTATGAACATGGAATGCTTCTTTTCTATTTAAAAGATTGATTTTTGTGAAATCTGTCTCATCACACAGGTGTCGGACCGCTGTGTGGTGGCTTTAGTGCCAAAGCAGACCTCATCATACAACATCCCTTCCTCAGCCAGCATATCGCGCACCTCCATCAGCAGATACGGTGAGTCACTAGACATGATTGCTCTTTATATGCCTTTGTTTTGGCTGGCATTGATTGTATTGATTGATGTAGCATATATATTAGGTAATTACAGGTGGATTGTGAGGGTTAGCCATCAGTTAAATCCATGTTGATGTAGTGCTATTGCTGCTTTTGATAGATACATCAAAGTACTTTTACATTAGTTGTTTCAGATAAGAACAAAGGGAAATCTTCTTTCCCCAAAGCAATGGTCTACTCTTTTTTTCTCTTTAGAGAGGTTCTAGCTGCTTTCTCCACCCCCCCCCCACCCACCCCACCCCCTTCCAACTGTGTGAATGCTGCAGTTTGCCTCACAGTTCAGGCCCAACCTCTGTTGGATGGTATGGAAAGAACACTGAGAGAGAATGACAGAGAAAGCCATTGTTTAGTTTTGAGGCTATAATATTTTTTATAATGAAGATCCGTTCTCTGCGGGACATTTTGGGTTGCTATTTGCACACATACTTGTGCCCACGTGGGCATGCACACAGTACATGCAGTGCCTATGCACGCAGGCGCTCACATGCTTTAGATGTGCTTGTTGTTTGTGCTGCCGGGTGCCAACATTTGGTCCTATGCCAAACACACAGCAGCAGCACACAACTTGTGATTGCTAATTATTCTCTGTGAATGATACTTCACACAAACAGAAAAAGATAAGTGAGCATAGCCAATTATCAGGATCGGCACTAGGTGAACGCTGCCTTTAAACTATCTAACTCAGATAAAGAGCTAACAGCATCCTTATCTTTCCAACCAATTATGCTTATTTACAAATGTTAACAGTGGACACCTATGGACACTCCAAAATGGGCCATCATCTTCAGTTTATGTGCTGTGAAAAATAAAGTGTAACGATATTTTCAATGATGACCTTTAGAAGATTGCAGCGTACTGAGTCATCACTTTATTTTGAACAAAACACCGTAAAGGTTGTTGGGAGAGATGGCAAGATGATGGATGACCAAACTAATGTAAAAAAAAAGAGTACAACTACAAAAGGAAAGTCACTTTCTCTGCATTATGTAGGTTGTTTCTTGTCAAGCTTAATTTGTTCTCTTTGGAGTTTTATACCCATATATTCTATTCAGGCATTGGAGCTGGTTGTGCACGGCATAAAGAGCAAAGCCTCTGCTGGCATGATCCTGGCTCTCATCAATCATGGGTTGGCACAGCGGGCACAGCTGCACCTTGACACCTGCTGATCGATTCATACCAATTTCACGTTCGGTGCTTAGCATCTTGACTCAATTTACACCCCCAGAACCCCCTATTAGCTTTAAAATCAGCTTGAACACACTCCCCTACTGACTGGCTCTGTCCGGGAGCTGCGAATTGCAGCCAAGCAGGAAAGGGTTGCAGGTCACTGCTTAGTGTTTCGGGGAGTTAGGAAAAGACTGCGGTGCAGGCAAAAGAATAGCCCTGCCCACAAAAAAGTAGAATAGCAAAAGAAAAAAAAAACAGTGACTGGATTAGGATGGGATTTGGGTCCTCAATCCACCCTGCACACAAGTGCATACATCATCCCTTAGTGTCCCTAGTGCCCGTTCCAGAGCTGCAGTTTGGTCTTATTTGAAAGGTATGTGGTTTTATTGGCAGCAAAAGCTTAGTTGTTCAGCTCGGCATTTGAAGACATGTGAGAGAAATCCTCATTGGGATGCTCAGATCCTGAATCTCTAGAGAGCCACCTGCCATGATGACAACTAATTAAGGAAAGTGAAAGCAGTATCATTCTGAGAGAATGAAAAGGAGAGGTACACAAAGGTAGGGATGTATGGATGAAGGATGGTGGCTACAGTGCTTAACAAGTTGCTGCAGGAATCTTTTGATGTATTGATTAGAGGATGACAGGGACATTTGGCATTGGCACAATGTGGCGAGGAAGAACCAATTATGAGTGCTTTAAGTGGAACTCGGCACAACAGTGTCTCAGTCGGTGAGACGGGGATTATATAAGAGACAGAGAATGAATAAGATGAAAAGCAAATACTCATCAGATAAATAATGGCATACGGAGAGAAGAAAAAGTAGAGTCAATAAGCAGAGTAATACATATTTAGTATTTTTAGTCCTGCACAATAATAATTTGGTTTTGCATGTGAAGGACAGAGGTCAAAGTCTTGTTTTCATCCATTTTCTGTGTCATTTAAGATTCAAGTCTCAAGATGGCTATTACTAATCCGTGCAATGCTAGACACCACAACTCCTCCTCCCTTTCATTACTTTGTTGTTCTTAGAAATTATCCATTATTGCAATTTCCTTTATAGCATGGCTTAGAGGAGGAGGAGCGCAGAGGATTCGGCTGTGTAATGAGTTACAAAGCAGAGATGGAAATGAGAAAGGGGCTGTGTATGTGTGTTCTTGTGTGGGTTTGTTTGTGGGTGTTCTATGTACAGTAGGTGTGAGTGCATGCTAAATTTACATGATGATGCTACACCTAAGGGAAGCTTTTTTTAATCACAGTCATTTAGGCTTGCTAATAATTCTCTATCGCTTTTTTTTTTCTCCCTCTCCTTTTTTCTTTCCTGTCCTGGACAGACTCTTCATTCCGCTACACCGGGAGTCCAGACAGCCTCCGATCACGTGCTCCCATGATTACCCCCGATCTAGAAAGTGGTGTAAAGGTTTGGCATCTGGTGAAAAACCACGAGCATGGAGATCAGAAGGAAGGAGATCGTGGCAGCAAGATGGTCTCTGAGATTTATCTGACCCGACTGCTAGCTACCAAGGTACGTCAGTATTCTCTCATACATTTCTGTGGCCACAGAAAAGTTTGTCACTTTTTATGATAACGCTGCGTTCACAGTTGCTTTTTCTTCTGTTATAATCGTTGTTTCTTGTTGCTCATGCATTGTTAATCTCTTTACTCTCGTTCTTCTACTAGGGTACACTACAAAAATTTGTTGATGACTTGTTTGAGACGTTGTTCAGTACAGTCCACCGAGGGAGCACCCTTCCCCTGGCCATCAAATACATGTTTGACTTCCTGGATGAGCAGGCAGACAAACACGGCATTCACGACACAGACGTACGTCACACATGGAAAAGCAATTGGTAAGGGGTTTTCTACTAAAGACAGTAAAAGTAAGATTGCATGTGACTATCTATTAACGCCTTTCTGTATCTCCCTTATTTTTATTTCTGTCTGCCAGCCTTCCTTTGCGTTTCTGGGTAAATGTGATCAAGAACCCGCAGTTTGTCTTTGACATCCATAAGAGCAGCATCACGGACGCCTGTCTGTCTGTAGTAGCGCAAACCTTCATGGATTCTTGCTCCACCTCAGAGCACCGCCTGGGCAAAGACTCTCCATCAAATAAGCTGCTCTATGCTAAAGATATCCCCAATTACAAGAGCTGGGTAGAGAGGTAGGGGCCGTTGCATTCACTTAATACAGCATGCTAACACCCCCCACATCTTTTTTTATTTTTTATTTTTTTTGTATCGTCATACAATGAGAGTTGGATCTTTGGGGAAACTGATTCATAATGCTCTTTTTTCATGTATTCATTTCTCAGCCAGATTCAGTAAAAGCTTTGTCAGTGACTGTTAGCAGGCATTCATTGTTAGTGAAAGTGATATAATGGATCCAAATTTGAAATACTGTATAAAAGAATTTAAGCCTCAGTTGAACTATCGCATTGACTCAGCGAGTCTGTGACGTTTCCCCTCGTCTGTATCCCCAGGTACTATGCCGACATCAACCGGCTGCCAGCCATTAGTGACCAGGACATGAATGCCTATTTGGCAGAACAAGCCAGACTCCACTCCACAGAGTTCAACATGCTCAGCGCTCTCAACGAAATCTATTATTACGTCAGCAAATACAGTGAAGAGGTAAGCGATATTAGTGGTCTCAAACCTGTCATTCAGATGCATTGTGTGTCTGGCATTGTGCTCCTTATTTTTCTTGTTTTAGGTGTTTGTTTTTGTTGTTTTGATTACACTTATTTTGCATAACAACTGAAGAGCAGCCAGTGTTTCAGCAGTGAATAGCACCTCTATCTGTAGTATACAGGGATTTGTGTGAGAATAACAGAAGGAATGTAAAGGGATGTGTGTTTGATTGCAGACAAAAAAAAAGCACAAATAATGAATAACGTACTTATCAATTCCAGCTAGTTATGACTATTTTGGCATTTTAGAAAGAGGGATGAGGAGTGTGGGTATTTGCTAATTAAAGTACCTCTGTCCTAGTGAAACACTGCCCATATTAACAACATATTCCTCAACCTGCTCTACTGTCTCTAATTTTCACTCTCTTTTGTAATATGTCAAACTGCATGTGTTACGTAAATTCCTGAAAATAAGTTTTATACAATATGATCTATTATACTGGCGTGTTTCTCAGGTGAGGTTGAATCTCAGTCTTGTTAAACTTTTGTTACTCTGTGATAAATCCTTCCTATGAACTACATTCTGAGCTCGTTCATTTACAGAATTTACCTTGAGGGCAGTCCCAGGCACTGATTGCGTAATGAGCTGCCGCCTTACTCAATCAGCTGCTAATTATTGGCAGATTGTGAGCGTAATTTGAACGAGAGGCGTGCCACAAATTTGCCCCGCACTTTAATGTTCTTATATTTTGCCCTTGGTGCTTCCAGACTATTCATAACTGGAAAAGGTTGGCGAGGTCAGCTAAGAGTCTTCAGTAGACTTCCCCAAAGCCCAGAAGTCTAGCGAGACCTGGGCTTAACAAGGCAGCACGCTTGATCTGTAGAGAAGAAAGTGAATGTCTACAAGCTCTCAGCATGTTGCTCTGTCCTTTTGCTGGTGCCGAGTTAGAGTAGACAATCTGTCATATAGGGTTCTCATGAGCAGAATCATGGGCAATACCACACACATCCTCTCAGATCGCAGGAAGCATAAAAAAGGAGGGAAGACGATGAGAAAGAAAGAGAGAGCATTTATAGAGACATTCGGCTTCTAATGTCAGCACATCCTCTGGGAAGCTTTAACTTGACCTTTATGTTGGACCATAGTACCTCTCTCTTTTTCTCTTATTCTCTACCTCCTCCCTGTGCATTCCTTCTCTTTTTACCCATTATCCAGTCAGCTTCCCCTTTGCTCGCCATAAATCTCATATGCTCGCTTTTGCTGCAGTTGCCATTGTCTGATTCACACATGCACAGGGACGCAAACGCACTCACTTCGCACACATACGTGCACCATCGTTCCTGCAGTATCTAGCAGAGTGCAGTGCGTAAAAACCTCATCTAGCACCATTAACAGTTGTTCATTCTTACTCAGCCCTTCACAAAGGTTGTGTGTCAGGCTAACCAGACCAGAGCTTCAGCTTGCTTAAATGGATTTGGGAGTTTGCAGTGGGAGCTACACCTGCGTACAGAGCTGCAGATTAATTATAGATTGCTGTCGGGCCCAAAGTGGAGGAGGAAACGTTCTGTTACGTAGCTGCCAGCCTTTAAGAGCACTTACGCAGATGAGTGGATGATGGTAGGTGGGCAAGTCAGACTCTGTGTTATGCATCTGGACAGGCAGCAAATAAAGGTTTGCCATGGTATGCTAAAAAAAAGGAAAAAAAGCAGTTCTTGATATGATTTCCAAGTCAAATTTACAGAAAAGGTTAATAAGCCAATCAAAAAGAAGCTCTTGCTACGATAATTACATTCTTTGGGCATTGAGAAAATATTTTTAAATAACACAGTGTCTAAAATACCAGATATTTTGGTGTATTTTAGAACAAAATAACTCATTGAGCCTGCATATAAAACCAAAGACGATAAATGAGTGAGCTGAAATGTCACTCGACAGGGATAAATGGTACATTGAAGATGACACTTTTTTTTGTTGCTTTTTTCATTTTTTATTCATCCCTTACCTCAGAACTTTTTAAAATGCATATTGCATAAGATGGGTCGATGAATTATTTTGTTTAAAATATTAATAATTAAGTAAAGCACAACATTCAAGTGTAGCCAAGAGTAGCAAATAGATGCACAGTGCCACCAGAAAGCATGTATTCAAATGGCTGCAGCATCTGGATACAGGGATTCATATCAAAGGTAATGCATATGAAGGGCTCTCGCTATGTATTTTGGCATCACTCTTACACAGATTTATTATGACAAGGCTGACACTAGATGAGAGAATGAAAAGGAGAGCCTGTCTGAATGTCTTTTGAACCCAACTTGACAAATGCCAAATTTAAAAGATGGGGCTCAGAAGATAAAACGCGAAAGACTCGTGCACAAATATATCTCGAAGCTGTCAAAGTCAAAGGGAGTGATGGAATTATTATTTTTTCTTTTATCTGATGTCCATATAGAAATCTGGGAAAAGAAAAGGAAAAGAAATTTAAAAAGCGCATTGGTATTATTTTCTTTTAAATGTAACTAGATCTGAATTTGTGAACAAATCCTAACAAGCAAGTGTTTCACAGTATATTTTTATTGATGATGTTTTTTGGGCGGGGTTTGTCATGCACAGATCACAGCAGCCCTGGATCAGGATGAACAGGCAAGGAAGCAGAGGTTGGCCTACAAAGTGGAGCAGCTCATCTCTGCCATGTCCTTTGAAAGCTGAGAGTGACTACTACTGAGAGAAAGTGAGAGAGAGAGAGGACCACAGTCTTTACGTGACCTACCAAAAAAGGTCTTGCATTACTTACCTCTCATGATGGGAGCTGAAACCATGAACCAGACCTGGGACCTCTGTATCTACAGCTGGACAAACATACAACTGCTTGAGTTTGTAATTCTCCCACCTCCTTCCATGACGGTGCCAACGCAGGGCCCGAAGACTGAAACGGAGGCCTCCCTGCAACTGGAGCTTTTGGCATGAGAGACTATACCAGAGAAGGGAACCACATGGCTTGTATTTATTTTTTTCCTTTAATTTTCCACAAAGGACATCTTCTCTGTTTGACAGGGAATTGTATGTTCCGTGAGTGTGTGTGTGCATAAAAGTGTGGGTGTGCATGAGTGTGTGTTTGTGTCATACTGAGGAAGACTCCTACAAGAAATGGAGAAACAGATTTATTCTCTAGCAACTCGCAGCTAAGTGTGAGGCGGAGAGAAAAAAGGCGAGAAGTAGAAGAGCAGATCTCATGTTGGACAGCTGAGATTGCATTCAGAGTTCTCAGATTTTATTTTTGTACTTTGTACATTTGAATATTATCAGTTGCGGTTCCAAAATATCCACCTCGGATCCCAAAAGTGTTGCTATGTAAAGATGCAAAGCGCGTAACACCACTTTAGATTAGCGTGATAATAAAATGGGCCATGACTCGTGTCTTCTCTCACTCCTCTCTTTGGACTGAAGCTTCACGCAACATGGACAAAGCCTCTGGTCTTTATTTAATCAGATATGTATAGGAAATCATAAAACATGTGGCCATCACATAAAAGTTAACAGAACTCTACATGTGGTGGTCATTACAAGTTAAGCCAGCATGCTTGCACCTAAACTGAAGATGATGAAATCTGTAGTGTAATTAGGAGGTGACCTCAGATAAGGATCACTCTGGTATCAAAGGCTCTTTACAGCAGTTAGCTCATCTGTGTATGTACCAGTTGATACTTGCCAATCATTGTATGTGAATGTACAAATTTTGGTTTTTTCATTTTGTATCTTTGTCTGTCTGTTTTAAGTTTTACTACAAAAATTGGCTCATTTGAATTGAGCTTCATAGATATTTCCTGTAGCTTGTTGTGTGAAGAACTCAATTTTGTTCATCCTGGCCCTGTTCCATCCAACTGCTTCTTTTGGCCTAAATTGCTTTCCTTCTAAAGAAGAGTGTGCATCGTTATAGTGTCTGTTAATGCTGTAAAGCCTGTGGCGTAGGCTGCAGTATCCAGAGGTACAGTGGCAGTTTGAAAAGAGCAGGTAAAAGCAGCTGGTTTCTGTGCTCACATTTTATGTCCACTTTTTTTATCTTTTCAGGACCTCGATCAACCTTTTGTGTAATTTGCATGCATGGTGTCACACATCAAAGTGTTTGAGGGTCCGTCTTTTATTTTTCTCAAGTGCCAGTGAGTCACACTCTAGTTGGCCAGTTGAAATGTTAGCTGATGGAAGATCTTACCTAACCACCACATGTCTTCGCACAGATAATAAGAAGTCTGCGTGGGCCTAGTTTGACAAAGTGCCAAAAGATCCCGGTATTTCAAGTAGTTCACAAATGTATCACAATCGGTTTATGCTTTACAGAGGAAGCAACACTCGCATATTTGAGTGTATATTCAGTTAAAACAGAAGACTTAAAAACTGGAATGGTGAGTTTTCAAACTCACTAAAGGTACGAAACATAAGCGGGG